CTTTTATTGACTCCATCGCTGTGGAAAAATGGACGGGATTTCTTGGCATGTGTAGATACATGTATAAGATCATTGGCCTTGTCATGATTTGCTCTTTCTAGGAGCGTTTTTTTTTTAATTTCTAAATTTTTAAATTATTTGTGCATAGATATTTTTAGAGAGTGTTACTTTTATCTATTTGTTATGGTGTTCTGCAGGTTTCATGCATTTCGCTCGACACAGTAAATCAACATTAAAGTCATTTTCTGTCTAAATATATTATTTCAAAAGAATTTGATGCATTGACAATGAAATTAAAAAAAAACAGAAGCACAGAAAAGGGGGGAGGGGATGTCTTTTACCGTGCGAAACATCCCGAGGAAAATTGGAGTGTCGAGTGAAGTTCTTTAATTGCAAGCTAATTAATTTTGCTTTTATAAACATATAACTGTCCTACAATACATTGCATTGTAATGCTTGATGTACTGTCTAATTAAAACATACTTGGTCAATTTTTATTATTAGGCAAAACAGTGAAAAAAAAACTTTCCTGTTTGACCGATGAGTGAATATTTTGAGCCTCAAACAAAGCACCGATGACTTTGTAGAACAATCAAAGACGCTTTTCAATACTGCTTAGCAGTACTTGTTTAGTGAGATAAGCTCACACTAAGTCCTTTACGCGCGATATTACCCGTAACCGTTATTTACTCTGACTTTAACACATGGTCATTTGTGAATGTCTCTCTAACGTCTTATATATAGTATACAAGCCTGTTGCTCGTTAGCATTGCTTAAATATTTACATAATATAAAGCAGAAAATCAATGATCGTTTTATCTACGTTGTTCAAAGGGACATAATTTGAGTTATCGAACTTTGAAACAAAACTTACATTATGCAAATTTCCAAATAAACATTCAATCACAAGGACAAATTGTATATAAAAGCTGTCTTTGGAGGGTGGATGGTGGGGGAATATTTCTAATACATTGACAACTAAAATGATTGTGCTTTTTTAAATACAAGTAGAATTGAACCATACTGCACTCTGCTGCAATACAGTGCGATACATTGTGATGCCTGCCAAATTGTCCAATCAAAATGAACTCAGTCAAATTTTTTTTCTTTACTGAATTTAAAAACTGATTGAATACACACTTTTTTTCATTTTATGCTTTGAAAAAAAAAAAAGGTTTCAAAAACAGACTGGAGAGCATTTCTATTATTCTCATATTCTTAAATATTTGTTTTGTTTGATATGAATCAAAACTAACAATCATTAATTAAGGCGAAGGACTTGGCAAAGTTACGTGTTACTGTTTTTTTTTTTATCGAATGACTAGTTTGAGTATGTGTAAAAGATCCAAAAGAAATTAGCACTCCTTTTTGACAGATGAGTGGATTTTTTGTTTGCAAGAGAATTTATACTGTTTACCATAATAAGAATTTAACTGCATTTTATTGCACTGCACTACAATGCAATGTCATTAAAAAAAAAAAAAAAAATGAAGTCCATTTTTGTTTACATTATGGTATTGAAAATAAGGTTTAAATTGTTGTTTAGTGTTTTATGCTACGCCTAGTTTGGGTATATGAAAGATTGAAAAAGAGAGAAATCTCGTGTTTGACTGATGAGCGTAAATTTTGAGAGTGATGCAGATAAGCACCAGGAAGGATAAACAGAACATATTCTGATAACAGTACTTAGAGCTAAGTTCTCATCAAAGAACAGTTACTTTTGCTGATTTTTTTCATTTAAAGACTGATATGGATACCTCAGTGTATATACATGTATAAGATCATTGGCCTTGTCATGATTTGCTCTTTCTAGGAGCGTTTTTTTTTTATTTCTAAATTGTTAAATCATTTGTGCATAAATGTTTTTAGAGAGTGTTACTTTTATGTATTTGTTATGGTGTTCTGCAGGTTTCATGCATTTCGCTCGACACAGTAATTAACATTAAGTCATTTTCTGTCTAAATATATTATTTCAAAAGAATTTAATGCATTGACAATGAAATTCAAATAAACAGAAGCACAGAAAAGGGGGGGGGATGTCTTTTACCTTGCGAAACATCCCGAGGAAAATTGGAGTGTCGAGTGAAGTTCTTTAATTGCAAGCTAATTAATTTTGCTTTTATAAACATATAACTGTCCTACAATACATTGCATTGTAATGCTTGATGTACTGTCTAACTAAAACATACTTGGTCAATTTTTATTATTAGGCAAAAGTGAAAAAAAAATTCTGTTTGACCGATGAGTGAATATTTTGAGCCTCAAACAAAGCACCGATGACTTTGTAGGACAATCAAAGACTCTTTTCAATACTGCTTAGCAGTACTTGTTTAGTGAGATAAGCTCACACTAAGTCCTTTACGCGCGATATTACCCGTGACCGTTATTTACTCTGACTTTAAAGAACAGTTACTTTTGCTGTTTTTTTTTTTTTATTATTATTATTGAAAGACTGATATGGATATAAGCGAAACATCCCGAGGAAAATTGGAGTGTCGAGTGAAGTTCTTTAATTGCAAGCTAATTAATTTTCTTTTGAATAAAATTATAACTGTCAAACAATACATTGCAGTGAAATGCTTGATGAACTGTCTAATTAAAACATACTTGGTCAATTTTTATTATTAAGCAAAACAGTGAAAAAAAAACTTTCCCGTTTGACTGATGAGTGAATATTTTGAGCCTCAAACAAAGACGCTTTTCAATACTGCTTAGCAGTACTTGTTTAGTGAGATAAGCTCACATTAAGTCCTTTACGCGCGGCATTACCCGTGACCGTTATTTACTCTGACTTTAACAAATGGTCATTTGTGAATGTCTCTCTAGCGTCTTATATATAGTATACAAACCTGTTACTCGTTAGCATTGCTTAAACATTTGCATAATATAAAGCAGAAAATCAATGATCGTTTTATCTACGTTGTTCAAAGGGACGTAATTTGAGTTATCGAACTTTGAAACAAAACTTACATTATGCAAATTTCCAAATAAACATTCAATCACAAGGACAAATTGTATATAAAAGCTGTCTTTGGAGGGTGGATGGTGGGGGAATATTTCTAATACATTGACAAGTAAAATAGTTGTGCTTGTTCAAATACAAGTAGAATTGCACCATACTGCACTCTGCTGCAATACAATGCGATACATTGTGATGCCTGCCAAATTGTCCAATCAAAATGAACTCAGTCAAATTTTTTTTCTTTACTGAATTTAAAAACTGATTGAATACACACTTCTTTTTTTTTCATTTTATGCTTTGAAAAAAAATGTTTCAAAAACAGACTGGAGAGCATTTCTATTATTCTCCTATTCTTAAATATTTGTTTTGTTTGATATGAATCAAAACTAACAATCATTAATTAAGTCAAAGGACTTTCGCAAAGTTACGTGTTACTGTTTTTTTTTTATCGAATGACTAGTTTGAGTATGTGTAAAAGATCCAAAAGAAATTAGCACTCCTTTTTGACTGATGAGTGGATTTTTTGTTTGCAAGAGAATTTATACTGTTTACCATAATAAGAATTTAACTGCATTTTATTGCACTGCACTACAATGCAATGTCATTCAAAAAAAAAAGAAAAAAAAAAAAAAAGAAGAAATTAAGTCCATTTTTGTTTACATTATGGTATTGAACATAAGGTGTAAATTGTTGTTTAGTGTTTTATGCAACGCCTAGTTTGGGTATATGAAAGATTGAAAAAGAGAGAAATCTCGTGTTTGACTGATGAGCGTAAATTTTGAGAGTGATGCAGATAAGCACCAGGAAGGATAAACAGAACATATTCTGATAACAGTACTTAGAGCTAAGTTCTCATCAAAGAACAGTTACTTTTGCTGATTTTTTTTTTCATTGAAAGACTGATATGGAAGTTAATTGCAATGTGTTTGATCAGTGACATTCGCGGGTCTAGAGGGAGGTCCGGAACCCCCCCCCCCCCCCCCTGCAATTTGCAGAGTTATTTAAAGTATATACTGAAGCAAATAAAAAATTACTTTGGACCCCCACCCCCACCCTAGAAAACGTGGACCCCACCATATCGCCACCACGAAATGTGTTTTTCACGTTTGGGAATCCATTTTTTCTTCTTCTTTTTTTCTTTTGCTTGTCAAGAAATTTTTGGGTTGGATTTTTTTTTTGACTGGGTTGGACCCCCCTGGAAAAAATTCCTGGATCCGCGCCTGAGTGATATTATCACGATTATACCTGTAGTAACATGAGTAAATACACGTATGTTGCTTCATTGTACCTGTTATCTGAAGACCACATATATTAGTTTTTTAAAGGATATAGTGAATGGATTTGTAATATTTGTTTGAAAGTTAATGTTCAGACGGATTTTGACCAGTTAACAGCTAGGGACATATGAACGTACGATATACATGTACTTCCTAAACTAATATACCGGAGGTATCCTGTTAAGTTTAATGTTTTATATATGATGCATTTGTGTTTTATACATAATAATTATGATAATTTTCTTTTTTACCCCACTTCACTGAATTAATTAATTGTTATATAGGCCTATATAGTTCGATCACCGTCAGAGTATGGAGTAAAAAAAAAAAAAATTCAGAAACAAATGCCTGTGATTCTTCCGTATTTTTTTTTTTTTTTTCAAATGTTCATATAACATAATAATTTAGTAACTGTATATTTTCCATTTCCGATCGAGGTTTCGTAAGATTTTACGAAACATTTGCTTTTTAGAATTTCATCAGCCACTAGATGGCAGATCGGTTGTAATAATGGACTGGGCCCCAATTTAAGGGATGTTTCTTCATAAATTCTTCATTGTTTTAATTGAGTGGACAACTAAATTCTAGAAAAATCATCTTTGTGAGTACAAACCTCTAAAATAAAAGGTGAAAATATTTAAAAGACAAAATATAATATGATTGCTGTCTTTTTCTTTCCTTTGGAAAAGCTACACACCCCTACCAATTGGAACAGTCCATGGTGCTTTCCGACTGTGACGTCAAAGGTTAAATAACCTCCCTTTCAAAGTTTCATTCGTAAGATCTGCGAAGGTAGACGGAACATCATCAAAAATGTAAGTAGAATTCACTAAAAAGAATTAATGTACGTCAGATATTGCCTTTTTGTGAAGAAACAGAAACTTTTCTTTGATTTTGATATCAATTTAAGTTCATAATCTGCGTACTTTTTGTTTAATCGTCAAATATAAAATGGACCGGTATGTCGGTTATTTCAAGGACACTAACTGTGAAAGAACTTGTCAACATCACGAAGCTGTGAAAGAACTAATAATTGAAAATCGGTGCCTTTGTATTGTTTTTGGGTAAATGCTGAATTTATTTCAACATCTCTTAGCTTTAATTCCGAAAGATTTGAGTGCTGTTGTTATAACATTGCTCGAGATCAGCTGTTGTATCTTGAACACGTGTAGTTACTGAGAAAACAATAGTAAAGACACAAAAGACGCTCTTTTTCGGGTGTATAAATTGTTAAAATGTTTATATTCGATAAATAGTATTCCTTCTGATTTAATATGTTCAGTAGGAAGTCAAATACAAAACAAGGACACAGGAAGGACACTTACTGTAAACAAATTGATCTGTCTCAAAAAGAAGAGAAAATTATCATTATTTGCTTCTTATGATGAGAAAAAATAAAATTCCAGTGAATTAGGATTTATGGCTGTAAAATCTGCTTTAGATTGCCACAAGCCTTGACATGCCAGGGGTCTTCAAGTGCTTGATTATGGCTGTAGGTTATTACTTTCACACTCATCTGACACAAAGTAAAAAGAACATTAACTGTGTTCCAGTGTTACATAAGTTGAATATTTATTCATTAGAAGGTTGAGTAACCAAGAATATCATTTTCTCACTTGAGAATATTGATGGAATGAAGCACAATAACATAATTCCTTACAATTTTACCATACCTCACAAGTAACAATGCAATGTTTAAGAATGAGAGGAAATTATGACTAATGATTATTTCTGATTTCAGGCCTGACGTACCAGCTGGAGATATTGAGAAGGGAAAGAAGATCTTTGTCCAGAAGTGTGCTCAGTGTCACACAGTAGAGGCTGGCGGTAAACACAAAACAGGACCCAATCTTAACGGATTGTTTGGCAGAAAGACTGGTCAGGCAGTTGGCTTCAATTATACAGAGGCAAACAAAAACAAAGGTACAAAAAACTGTCATATTTCATTGCAGGTTTCTTTGTAGTGACTGGAAAAGGCATGGTAATTTTTCTTTACACAAGTGTCACTATCAAGAGTAGATTTTGACATGACTTTTTTCTGTGAAGTTGGTGTCATTTTTCAAATGAATTACACTTTATTATTCTTTTCACATGAAATGAATAGGGAAACATCTAAAATTTTGTGTCTAATATTACTACATATGTGAGAAAAAATTTAAACAGAGAGAAGTGTTTGTTTAACCCCTCTTAATATCACATTCTTATATGGTTTTTAATTTCTTCAAAATTAGCTATTGAAAAATCAAATAAAAGGTCATTTATAGCATGTGTTTCTTTTTTTCCTATTGATGTTAGATTTTACTACTTTGTTTCATGCTGTTGCAGGAATCACGTGGGGCAAGGACACAATCTTTGAATACTTAGCCAACCCCAAGAAATACATCCCTGGAACAAAGATGGTGTTTGCTGGAATCAAGAAGCCCCAAGAAAGAGGCCATCTTATTGCCTACCTGGAAGATGCTACAAAATAACCGCGGCACTCAATAGGATTCTAAATTATTTGTCTTTTTTTTCACTTCAGGCATTTGAGATTTGTGATTTGGTACATGTCAGTTATTTAAAAAAAAGGACATGTTTACATGAAATAATTTTTTTACTTCAAAGAAATAGTGTGTAAAGGAAAATAAATGTGCCATGTATTGTACATGTAAAACTATCTTCAAAACAACCTTTGACACTTCCAGTTAAGTATCTGTTTAATTTTTGTGAAGTTAATAGTCACAAAGTTAAACCCGTCTCGGAAATGTTTTGAATTAGGCTAGAATAAAAGGGGGATATGTAATTGGTGGTACCTGGTTGCCCCAGGATGGGCAGCTACTCCCATTGCTGAATGTCATACATTTTAATTGTAACAATTTTAACAGTCTTGTATATGTATAGTTAACAACAAATTTGTGTTTTAATAAAAAGTTGACTTTGAAACTGGTCTCATTTGTATTTTTACAAAGCCATGTAGGTTTTATTTGTACTTGAAATATTTTGTCAGATATGATGAAATGTTCTCCAGTGTAACTCACTATTAGTGATACACAGCAAGAGCTGTCTATATTGAAAAAGGTTAACTATCCAGGAATTTCATATAGTATATGATATTAACTGGATGTTTTCGAAAGCAGTAGAAAACTTCATCTGTAATTAAAGCATGCTATATTATGTTAATTATACTGTGAACAAAGAAAAGAACTATTAGAAACACATAGTTCAAAGTCATTGATTATACAAATGGATTCTGCAAGTGAAGTATCAGCAAGATTGAACCAGAAAAAAAGGGAGAAGGCAAAAATTTGGCATTTTTCAGGGTTAATGATCAGCAAAAATTATAGAATAATTATATAGGTTATTTATCAATTCTGAATAAGATGCATTATATGGGACTGAAAAGATGTAAACTGTATCCTTAATAGGAATTCAAAAGAAAAAATATTGGTCGTAAATTGGCCTTTTAATGTAGAAACTATTAACACACTACAAGTTATAGAACAGTTGTTTGAGTTATATGCAGAATTGATAGAGACAACAAACTTCTGCACTGAAGTAAAAACAAGCATAAGCATATTGACCTTGAAACCACAGGTGCCTGACATATGTATATTGTACAACCCCCCATCACAGTTTCTTGACATGAGAATCTCTTTAGAATTTGGATACACTGTCCATGAATTTCCTAGCACATCATGCCTAAATTCTGATATCTGATGTATGCCTATTAGAATGTGTATAATACAATGTATACAATATGCAAGGAATTTGTGTATTTTAAATGAGTTACAGTATCGGGAAAAAATCCAGAAGGGGGTGGTACGTGTACACAATCCATAAACAATAAACAATGGATTTAACTAAATAAGTATTAAAAGTATATGTACATTTTTTAGCATCTTATTTGAAATGTATTTTTGTTTTTATTTTCCTGGGATTTTGAAAAAAACAAAACAAAAACTAGAAATATGTCCATAGGACATGATTGCCCCGCCCAGGGTATATTAGTAAATGCAACATGAAAATTTATATTAGTGTATGAAATTTAATGAGAATATCTTGAATAGTTTCTTTAAAATTGAAATCTAAAAAGTTGGATATAGATGATAAATTCTTACCAAATTATGTATAAGTGCATAAGCTTGCATAAATATATCTTGAATGATTTCTTTAAAACTAAGTAAAATGCAAATTTAAGAAAAGTGAGGTCAAGGTCTCAGGAAAGTTCACAGTCAAACATTTTTAATGCAGTTGAATAGTTCTCACAAATACCATCAGCATATTAAGTTTGATAAAAAATATAATGAATGGTTTATTAAAAACAGAGCTAAACACTAATTGAAAATATATGAAGTTAAGATCAAAGGAAAGGTCAAGGTCAAAAAATGTTGATGCAGTTGAAAAGCTTACATCAGTATGTATTAGCATATGAAGTTTGATAAAAATATTATGAATCAATGGTTTATTTAAAACTTAGTTAAACACAAATTAAGAAAAGTAAAAGGTCAAGGTCAAAAATGTTGATGCAGTTGAATAGCATACATCAGTACGTATCAGCATATGAAGTTTGACACTCATTTAAGAAAAGTGAGGTTGTCAAAGGAGAGGTCAAGGTCAAAAAATGTTGATGCGATTGAATAGCTTTCATCAGTATGTATCAGCATATGAAGTTTGATAACACTGTCCTGAATGGTTTCTTTAAAACTGAGCTAAACACAAATTTAAGAAAAGTAAGGTCAAGGTCAAAGGAAAGGTCAAGGTCAAAAAATGTTGATGCAGTTGAATAGCTCTCATCAGTATGTTTAAGCATATGAAATTTCCTCTGCCAGATTTCATTATTATACACTTAGGTTCAAATGATATCAAATTTGGATGTTCAAGAAAACTATTATCACACTTGCAGAAAGATTTAGCTGAAATTAGACAGAAGTTTCCAAATTGTAAATTGATTTTTTCAGAACTATTAACAAGGCTTATTTGGAGGGGTTTAAATTGGGAAGAAGGAGAAAGGGAAAGGTCTACCATTAATAAAAGAAAGTATGATTTTATTGGGAATGAAAATAATATTAGACATGCTAAAATTGAACCCAGAAAAAGATATTTATTTAGGAGGGATGGCATTCATCTCTCAGATTTGGGTAATGATTTTTTACTGTAAGATTTCAAGATCAAAATTCAACAAAGTATCATTTAAAGTTTGATGACATTTTTATAATTATTTATTATGCATTGATGATGCTGACAAACAGTCGGATCATCTGATTGTTGTCAATTTCTTTGTCTGTGTGTAATAAATAAACAAATGTTTTTATTTCAACATTATTCTTTTTAAAACTATGTAAGCTCTACATGTATGTGTGTTAATATTTTAAAACACATAAACATTTTTATTACATATATATACATAGCCTTTCAAATATGAGGGGGAGGAATGTAGTAAAGTATAATGTTTTTATGATCGGGCCCGAGATCCTAATATTCTTACTCTGAATGGTTGTCAACTATAAACAATAAAGTTCAGTTGCATCGTAGACCTGACAGTGTTAACACACCATAAATAACCTGGGAGGTTTTTCAGCTCTTTGAGTTCACCTGCATAGGTGTGCATAGGTGAGTTATCTCTTTTATATTTGTATATAGTTATACAAATACAACAGTAGTAAAACATGAAAATTTGTATCAGTGTATGAAGTTTGATGAAAATGTCTTCTCAATAGTTTCTCAAAAATTGAGTTTTATACAAAATAAATAGTAAAGTCAAAGGTCATAGGGAAGAGAAATGGACACAGTAGGTAAATTCTCACCAAATAATGTACCAGTGCATAAATTTACATTAAGAAAATATCTGGAATAGTTTCTTTGAAACTGAGCAAAACACAGCTTTGAGAAAAATTATGCCAAGGTCAAAGGAAAGGTCAAAGTCAAAAACATTGATGAAGTTGCATGAATAGCTCTCCTCAATATGCATCAGCATATGAAGTTTGACTAAAAAATATCTTGAGTTGTTTCTTTGAAACTTAGCTAAACACAAATTTGAGAAAAGTGAGGTCAAGGTCAAAGGAAAGGTCAGGTAAAAAATGTTGATACAATCGAATAGCTCTCATCAATATATATAATAAGCAAATGAATTTTGACAAAATATCTTGATTTGTTTCTTTGAAATTTAGCTAAACACAAATTTGAAGTCAAGGTTAAAGGAATGAATTAAAGTAAAAAATGTTGATGTAGTTGAATAACTTTCCTCAATATGTAGATAAATTTTGATTAAAAAAAAAAAACAAGTTAGGCATGTTAAATAATGTTCGGGATCGGTAAGCTCCGTTCTGTTTTGTCACATGACAAATCGAACCAATCGCACATCAAAACAACAAAAACATGGCGGCTATGGGATGAAAACCCGTTTCCTGTAGTTTGAAGAAGTTTGCAAAGCAAGGAAATGCTGTTTGCCCACAAAAAACCAGTGTCTCCAATGAAGTTAGGAACTTTGGTATTGCAGTCTCTTGAGGATGAGGTAAACAATCGACAACGTATAGAACGTGTTATCGAGTTGTCCTCCCAGGGCGAGTTGTTTGTGCAGGAACGGAAATAGCCCGCTAATCCATCAAGCTATGCCTTGTCTGAACCCGATGTTGTTAAAAGACTTGGCGTTTTCCTATCAATTAAGCTTTAGATGATTTGAACTTCTAATAAACCAATAATTTCTCTTGAAATCTACACCAAGGATGCATAAGGACCTCAGATTATGACAGCCTGATATTTTAGCAAATGATTGTATTGACATACCCTAGTTAGAAAAATCTAACTGCATCTCAGAACAGACCCTTTCCAGCCAAAGAAAAATAATCTATATAAAGGAAAAAATCACCATATTTCCCCAACATTTTTTTTCTTGCTTCAAATTCATCCACTGTGTTGACACAGAGAACTGTAAATTGTTATCAGATGATAGTATGTGTAGAATTATCTGCCCCTTCCTGTTTTGCTACATTGCCAACATACAGAATGGGGTAGACTTGACTTTACTGGTCCCCAGATCCGCAAGATCCACAAGATCCGCACGCTCATTGCACTATGACGTATGATTTATGTCACTCAACTGATAAGGGTTAGTCTTGCACACTACTCGACTGCTTAGGGTTAGTTGTGCACTCACCTGAGAGATTAGAGTTAGTCCTTGCACAGGTATTTGACCAGGGATCGACATTAACGGTTGTCCGATTGCCGGGGGCAAGTAAATTCTCAGTACGGGCAAGTGAAACTGCTGATGTACTTGTCCGATCGGGCAAGTGAATATTTGATAGATTTTTTAAATCTTACATTAGTTTATAAACAAAACAATAATTTGAACATTTGATTTCTACCAGGAATATATGACATTCTTTTTGTAGTCGGAAATTCCTCGGTAGCGCCGTTTATTCAAAAATCGGGTTCGTTATTCCATTTTTCTTTCTGGGTAGTTGACAAAACTGACTTCTTAACATTCTTATTATGAAATATGATATTTAAAAATAGCTCATTTATTTACTCACAAAACATAAAGAAAACCAGTTATTCTCGGCACACGATGTATTCTGATTAGGATATTTATGTTTCAAAACATGGCCAATGTTTTTCTTTAGCGTGGCTTCAGTTTTTCAGGGGGAAAAAATCTAAATTCACAAAAAGATCATTAAGAAAATAATTTTCAAAAATATGAATTTTATTTAAAAGGAGATATTGCTGCATGGCAGTGTGAGTTTACAAGTATTTAAAATGTAGCATCACCTGCACATCAAGATATTTTTCTGGCACTTAACTTGCCAAATATAATAAAAAAATATCTCACTTTATTTACAATAATAAATTAAGTTAATCGTTTTCCCTTCTTTCTAAATTTTGGGCAACTAAGTTTTGTATTTGGACAAGTCAAAGTTTGAGTTCACTTGCCCAAAGGGCAAGTGAATCTGTAAGTTGATGTCTATCCCTGTTGACTGATTAGGGTTAGTCTTGCATCCGTCAGTGAGATTAGGGTTAGTCCTCGCACATTATTTGACTGATTTAATAGGATTAGTCTAGCATCTGCCCAGGAGATTTGGGTTAGTCCTCACATACCAACTGAGAGATAGGGTTAGGGCTAGTGACTCATTCTTTTAGATAAATTAAGAAATTCAGTTGCTTCTGTAATTTTTGCAAGATCTTGATTCAGCTTCAGCTGCATTTTTTTGGTTTGTTTACATAAAAAATGGCTCAGTGGACGAAAGAAACGACACTTGGCATGCGCTTCACGCGCTTCATTGACAATTATATTTTGTCAATTTTTCAATGATTAAACAATATTTATTAATTTTTTTCAGAGAAAAAGGTTAAAAGCTTGGTTTAAAAACAAAGTTTAAAACAAAACTTTTAACCATAGAATTCGATTTATGGGTCAAAAAAGACCAAAAACCTCATACTTTATATCTTTTTATTTATAGCTCAAGCAATCTCATATACAGTTAAACTTCGTTATCTCGAAGTTGACGGGACCGTTGACCGAGATATCCGGGGGTTCGACATATCGAGGGTTATAATTCAAATGAACTTCAAATAAACTTAGTGCAATGAACATGTACTTAATAGTAAAAACATGTCAAATTCCTTCTTGTTTGAAATTCTGTATACATAATGTATATGTATATATAATTCTTTAATAAACATGTACATGTATTTAGCAATAAAAAGATTTTTACATCCTCTTTACAATTCACAAAATAAAAAAACTTCGTATAATATGCACAGAAGTATGATCTTTCTACCAACGCGGCATGTCAACTGCTAGCATCGTTTCCCATGTATACATAACCGGATATTGTCTATGCATTGTAAATTAAAACCGGTCGCTGTCAGAATAACGAAAACGAAATATACATTTTCTTTTAGAAGAAAAACATGTTCATACATGTATAATCAGTTAAAAGAAAATTATTTTACCATAATAAAATCAAATGCAAAAGAAAAATCAAGCACTTTTGTCTAACAACAGAACAACACTGAATCACAGGACACTATAGCACAAGTTTTTACTGCGACACACGCTCACATGATGGTGTGTATGGACGATTGTAAATTCTGCACGCTCATATATAGGAAAAATAAATTCTAATTGCATTAAATTACAGAATTTTGTTTTACTTCGATGTTTATGATTTTCATTTTCATATGCATAAACTATGTATGTGCGCATATTTCACATAGCATCAAATAGCGATTATCAAGATAAACGTACCCAAGCCACAAAACAACGTGTTATCCACGTGTATGCATTAGGCCAATACACACAACCTTGGCTTGCATAATTAAAATCAGGGTAAGCCATACATACACTTCATATAATTATCGCGCTATTATTTGTTGATCACAGGAACACAGGTAACCCGTGCGTGACAGACAGGTGGGTGTTATCAATAGAGCGTCCAGTTTACCTAACGGACTTGATCATCAGTGCGGAAAATTATCCTGACTTCGAGATAACGCATGTGATTATAATGAATGGGTACACAATTTTACTTCGAGATAACCGGAGTATTCGACATTACCATGTTCGACATAGAGAGGTTTATTTTAATCATTTATAAAGCAAATTTCGTCGGGACCGCGGCCTTACTTCGACATATCAGGGGTATTCGAGATATCTGTGTTCGAGATTTCGAAGTTTAGCTGTATACTGAAGTCGCCTACAGCGATACTATATTTTAGCATGTTTTTTCTGGGGGCCGGTAAAGTTAAGTCGTTCCACAGAATGAATTCTATCATTAAAACCTAGGGGCCTGTCTCCCAGATTTTTAAATGTAAACATGAATTAATAAAATTTTGAATCAACTTTGAATACACTTTTTCTGACACTTTCAAATAAGAATTACCATGTTTAAAAAAAAAAAAAAACTTACCACACCTATATACATAAACTCTACAAGGGACGAAAACTGTCATCTTCAAAAAAAAATACCCCACCCTCTTCAGCACCTGTTACTGGACTCTAATGCATTAATTTATTTCACTGTCATGGTTCTTTTCCCTACAGTGATGATTTTCCTAAAATGTAAATTTTGATCATAATGGTCTATCAGTTATCAACATGTGTTCAAGGAAGTACCAGAAAATAGATATTTTAAAAAAAGCATACAAAATTTTTATTACATTTGTACAACTTTTTCAGGTTTAATGTATAATTGATGTGATAGGTATTCCAGTTATCCATATTAAGTTAATATGATTTCAGATTCACAAACTAATCCTCAGACATTTCATCATTAGCAGGGGTTGAAATTTTCCTGGAAATCCCACTAGCCCAGGGACTACTGATCAGTAAAAAATTACTAGCCCAAACCTCAAACTAACTAGCCCAACAATTTTTTATGCAAAATGAAAAATAACAAGTTAGAGTTTCAAATGCTTTGGTGACAGAAACAAATTAAACTAGTTCTCAGTCAAGAGAAACCCAGTCTACATAGAAAAATGAAAGTAAACTGACGAGAATTTTTTTTCTGTTCTGCTAGTCTGACGAACATTCGTTACGTTTAAATAAGCTAACCCGAGTCTTAAAATGACTAGCCTCGGGCATAAGTCGGGCTACCGTATATTTCAACCCCTGAATTTAGTCATTAGAGTATTCAACTGTGGATATAGAATGATTAGCATCTGATTAACAAGGGACATTAATGATTATTACATTTTAAATGCAGAATACAACCTTACAGGAAAATAGATAAAATGAATTTAAAAAAAAATTGCAATATTCATGATAATGCTGCACTTTTGAAAACTATGGAATGAACAGCTAGTGATAATCATGATAATACGTGTACAGGATTCTTAAAAGCTATTTATCTTATGTACCTCATAGGTTGAATTTGTATAAAACATATTTGTATGCATGTGGTAAAAGCAAACTTCTGGCAGATTCAGTGTCCTAACATTAAATGTTTACTCTCGGACACAGACTTTGCTAGTAAAATATACTTTATATTTTTGACAGCCTCAGTTGGTACAAGCCTGCTTCCATGGTGATCCAGATGAAGTCAGAGCATTGCTTTACAAGAAAGAAGATGTTAATTACCAGGTTCATTAGTTTTACCCTATAGTATTAGAAATTTGGATATTTTCTAATACAACAACAGAAATTTACCATTAGATGGTGTATTCATATAATTGTGAAATTATCTTCATAGTTGACTATGCAACAGTTTGATTCAGAAAACTTAACTGAAAAATTGAAGTCTACATGTGAGAATTGTCTGTTGTGTAGTATGCATGCGAATGATGTGCACATTGAGAGTGAGTTTTCGTTAAAGTGTCTCAGTGTGCAAGAATGCGGTGTATAGTAAATGCCAGATATGTGTTGTGTTAGAGTCTCTCAGATGACTGTGACATGCTGTCTGATAGTGTCTCAGTGATGCTATGTGTTCTTAGTGTGTATGATAGTGATGTTCTTGAGAGAGTCTTAGTATGAGTGACAGACTTGCAGCGATGTTCTGTATGTGAGTTTCTAAGTATACAATATGATCCTATACTGTTGGACATGCCAGGGTGTAATAGACAGTGTTCTGCTATTATGATGTGTCTAATAATTCAATAATCCATAAGTAAGAATTACTCTGACTTATAATTATACTGTTTTTATTTAGGATGCGGAGAAGAGAAGCCCACTACATGCAGCTGCATATTGTGGAGAAGCGGAGATTGCCGATCTGCTGATAATGAGTGGAGCACGTGTTAACACTAAAGACAACAAATGGCTGACTCCACTTCACAGAGCATGCTGTTCAAAGAGTGATGTAAGAATCTCCAGCTGTCATATCTGTACTTTTTGTGGAGACAGGTCAAGAAAAGATTTGATTATACATCGGGTTAGGGAGATGTAGACTATTAGACTTGCTTTTTTGTGCTACATTTGACTTGATTATTTCCTTCATGAATGGCCAAGTTAAATTTCTTGTAGTAACTGTTAATACCTTAGGTCAAACTTGAATTAATGGTACATCTAAGAAAAAAGACCAGGTCAAAGTTTTTGGCACATGTACATTCCCAATAACTTTAAACCCAGCATGGACCAGACTTGTGAACCTGATCCATTTAGACTAATGTAATATCTTCTTCAGATGCTGCATATTGCATATATTTATGCCCCCCTTCGAAGCATGGAAGGCATATTGCTCTGCTGCTGTCTGTTGGTCGGTCGGTGTCTCTGTCGGTCCACCCAGTTTCGGTTCATTCTCGGTTGCGCATACTGAAATGAAATTTGGTATACAGATTTATCATAAGAATATCTAGGTCAAGTTTCTTTTTGGGTATGATTGAGCAATTTTTGACAGAGTTATGCCCCATGGACTTAGAAAAATTCCAATTATTTGCAGTTTCCGACCATTTTCTTCACAGAGGTTGCACATACTGAAATGAAATTTGAGGTACAGATTTATCTTAAGAATATCTAGGTTAAATTCTGTTTTGGGTACAATCGAGCAATTTTTGACAGAGTCATACCCCTTGGACTTAGAAAAATTCCAATTATTTGCAGTTTCCGTTCATTTTCTTCGCAGAAGTTGCACAGAACGAAATGATATTTGGTATACAGATTTATCATAAGAATATCTAGGCAGGTTATGTTTTGGGTACGATCAAGCAATTTTTGACAAAGTCATGCCCCTTGGACTTAGAAAAATTCTAATTATTTGGGGGTGGGTGGGGGGAATAAGTGTTTCACAAACATCTCTTGTTTACATTTGTATGTACTGTACATATATGATTTTGGAAATCTGAAACCTAGTGACTTCCATTCAAAAAACATTTAAAAGCATTTCAGAGATCTTAATTCATCCATGTACATGTTTATCAAGTATTAAAGTGTGGGAGAAGAACAGGCCATAACTTTTTCTTGATATTTACATTGTAAGTGTTTTCAGTTTAACTTAATTAATTTTTTTGGCAGTATTTAAATTTTTTTTTGTTATCATTGAGCATCATTTTGCTTTCAGGACACAGTTGAAACATTACTCAGACATCAGGCGGATGTAAACGCACGTGACAAGAACTGGCAAACTCCGCTGCACGTAGCAGCAGCTAACAATGCAGTGAGATGTGCGGAGTATCTTATACCACTACTGACCAATGTTAACGTATCGGACCGCGCTGGAAGAACCAGTTTACAGCATGCCTCATTCAACGGCCACAAAGAGGTAAAGCAAGAATTGATATGGTCAATAGACCATATACACTTAATACTTAGTAAACGCTTATGCAGATTATGTAAAAAATTTTCTGCAATAGCTGTAATGTTAATTCCCATACTAACAAACAAAAAAAGACATTTTATTGTATATATTTATGTCTGTATAAACAGTCATATAAAGTATGATAATCATATTAGGTATTGTATAATTGATATGAATGTCATTGCATGTTTTCATTGATGGAAGAGCCACTGCTCAAGAAATATTTATAGGTGGCTTGCTTAGCGGCATTTAAGTATTGATAAATGATAATAATAAGTGGATATTACTCCCTTAATGATAACAGATTTGATAAGATTTGAGGTAGCCTAAGATTATTTCATTGTTGTCCATAGATACCAGTGACCATTTAAAAGTATTGTTAATATTTTTTCATTCAGATGGCCAAGCTTCTTCTTGAGAAAGGAGCCACAATAAATGCCTTTGATAAGAAGGACCGAAGGGCCATACACTGGGCGGCTTATATGGGGCACACTGAGCTTGTCCGCTCTCTAGTGGAGTATGGTGCAGAACTCAACTGTAGAGATAAACAGGTACAGTCTAATAAACAGGCACTGTCTAATAAACAGGTACAGTCTAATAAACAGGTACAGTCTATAGAGATAAATAGGTCAAGTCTATAGAGATAAATAGGTGAAATCTATAGAGATAAATATGTACAGTCTGTAGTGATAAACAGTTAAAGTCTAATAAACAGATACAGTCTACAGAGAGATCAGGAATGGTAACAATATACATGTATTTACAGTCAAACCTTAATATCTTGAACTTGATGGGACCAAGAAAAAAACTTTGAGATACCCAATGATTTGAGATATCGAGGGTAAAATACTCAAAAAAATAAGCACTTGGGATTTCCAATCATTTTGACGTATCCTTGGTATTTGAGATATCCGTGTCTGAGATGCCGAAGTTCAACTGTATATATATATATATATTACTCTGAGTTACCTAGGATGAAAGATATACCAATATATTTCCTTCTTTTATCTTGCATTTTAAGTGAGCTACCACAATGAACAACAAGGAAGACATCATACAAGCCTTTCTATAAAGATGAAAGAAAACACATCAACATATTCATTAAACACAGTTTACTTAATCTTTGAAAGTGTGTGATTGCATAGTAGATTTAAACATTAATATTGAAATTTGACCTTGCAGATGTACACCCCCTTACATGCGGCAGCCTCTAGTGGACAGGTCAGTGTGGTCAAGCTCCTTCTAGAGCTGGGAGTGGAAGTGGACGCTGTCAATGTCCATGGTAACACGGCCCTCCACATAGCATGTTTGAATGGACAAGACGTGGTGGTCACTGAACTCCTGCAGTTTGGAGCTTCCATTAATGCTGTCAATCACAGGGGAATGGTCAGTAAAGAAAGTTACTATAAGGGTAGTGTAAAGGGTCTAATCTTAGTATGTGGTCAGTAATGGCTACTCTTAATGATTTGTAGTGTTTTTGACTTCGAATGTCTGTGACATTTCCAAGAATGATTTAAAAGTCTAATGTTTTCTTAGTGGTATTGAGTAGAAATGAATTATTAAAATTACTGCACACAGAAAATGTAAGAGTTTACATACTGTTTTCTAGTATCATAACTCCTAGGCAATTTGATTTTAATGAGACAATAAAAATATGTTCTACATAGTATTAATACAGCAGATTATGAGATTGCTTGGTTTTTTTGCACCAATGACACTCAAATTGAAAGATTTTCAAAAGTATCAAAATGGACAAACTTGGAATCCAGTTGGCTCATACATTTATATATTTACTTGTACCTACATTTACATGTATAAAGAATTGTTATATAATTATTTTGGTTTCATTTTTCAGACTCCTTTGCATTATGCTGCCTCATCCACACACGGAGGGATCTGTTTAGAGATATTAGTGACAGAGGGGGCCAACACAAAGACACAGGTATATATGCAGTACTTATTGCACCAGGCTTTAGTCACGGGATTATAATGAGATACTTTTCAATATTAATTTAATGCTGGCAACACATATTAAACTCAAGCTCAGAAGAGGCATGCATTCAGAGATGGAAGAACTTACATCTTTCTTTTAGTTTATTTATTTTAAAAACTTATTTACATGTATATAATAGAACAAGTTAGCATATGCATGGCATTAATTGTTAAGAAATGAGCAAAATTAGGCACTTCTGGGAAGCAGTGACACTGAAAACTGAACACAAATTTCATCAATAGAATTTTCCGGGAAAACTGAATATATATGATAAGCTGCTTTACATTAATTAAATTTTTATATGTATCTAATGTTCACCTATTTGCAGGTTATTTTCACTTTTGAATATATATGTATATATACTTTTTTGGGGAATGCTGATTTATTTTATGTATTTTATATGGAGATGGGGTTTTAACTTTTCACAAGGGCTAAATGATTCAATGATAATTTCAGATGCAAACTTTTCTGACAAATGATTCCATGTCTTCAAATCCACGAATTTATGAACTTCTCTCTGTTGGTTTTATCTTGGAAAGATATACATGTATTTGAAAAGTGTGGCATATATTTTTTTTCTTATAATTTTTGATTTTTAGTAAATACCAAAGTTTTTTTTAATCTGAATATATCTATGTGACAGTACTTTCTCAGAAGTCTGGTGTTGCATAAACCCGATAACAATTTTATTCTTTTCCAAAGACACCATCTGACTCCAAGGAACAAGAAAGTGATAAAAAACCAAGGAATAAGTGTAGGTTTGGGGCCAAAGGTCAAATTGCATGCTTGGCTGCTTCTCATATACTAATGAATATGCATAATTTATTTACTTCATTTACATGTACATGCTCTGCTGTCTCAGCAGATTTGAAAAGTATAGTATATTGCATGGGAGAAAATGATGTGACGTAAGTGTATGGATAGGTTTTATACCTATGTGTACTTACTGGGTTACTCTCCCTTAGCCCTGAGAATGTCCTTGAATAGTGTTAGATGTACATGCACATTCAAAAATATGTATCCTCCCCCCATCCCCCACCCCAATTAAAAGAAAATAAATAAATAAAACACCACCACCAAAAAAAACCCCCAAAACAACAAAAAACAAAACAAAAACAACAAACAAAAACAAAACAAACAAAAACAAAACACCCCCCCCCCCCCCCCAAAAAAAAAAAAAAAAACAACAACAACAAAAAGAGAAACAAACAAACATGCAAGCAAAAAAAAAAACAAACTAACTAAAAACAAGAAGCAAACCAAAAATTAGCAGTCATATTCAGTTTCTTTAATAGATGTGAAGCTCATACATGGCGATGAATTAATGGTCTTCATCCAATGGCATTCTTTTTGCAACATTAGTTAAATACATGCAAGTCTGTCTCAAGAAAATGATTTATAGTCTTTTGCAATTGGGATCAGTGATATGACAGGAAAAGTTTCCATAAAAGTCAAAGAAATGGAAAAACTTTAAATTACCAATGGAAACTGTTAGTTAAAAGGAGTATTGATACATGTGTTTTCACATTTAATGTAGGAAACATCAATGCTTAACATATGCTTTTCCTCCTTATCCCTGGGGTCTTTTTCTGGTCTGACCACTTTTCTATTATTTACATGTATTATTTCTATTTTCAGCATCTAATGTAATCAAAAAAAAAAAAAGATGGACTTGAAAATTCCATAACAGGATCAAGAAACAAATGTGAATGTAGCTCAATATATACTGTTTATACATGTATATTCCCTTAAGAATATGTGAAAGGCATACTTGTGTATCTTGAAAATTTAAACATTTATATTAAAAAAAAGAATGGAGTTTTCAAGACCAAGTTTATGTTTTATGTACTTTGAAAGTTGACCATTTTAAAGGTACAGGATGTTAAATAAAGTAAGAGGTATTATTACAGTAACTGTTTAAATCATGTAATGTTTAATCAGATGACTCACTCTAAATATCCAAGGCACTCTGAATATCCAAGGCAATTTTTTTTAAAGAAAGCAAAAAATTCATAGCCCGACTCTTTTTTCTTTGATTATGGATGTCATAATACATATTTTGCCACACCGCAAAAAGAATTTAAATTGTCAAAAAAAATCTGTTATTGCATATATTTGAATTCATAAGTGATGAATTATCAAAATGGTCAAAATTCATAATGAGTACATATTGACATTTCCATGTTGAATTGCATACATGTAGTATTCTCCTCATCTAATTTAGGGAGGTTGATATGATATTATATTGCATTGCTGACCTCTTTCTGTGTATTATTCCAGTGCAATGATGGGCGATCCCCTTTACATATGACTGCAGTGCATGGTAGATTTACTCGAGCACAGACTCTACTCGAGCACGGTGAGCGAGAACTAATTTCTGCTTGCTCTGGTGTGAATGCACTCAAGAGTGTAAATTTTTTCCTCATTCTGAAAAAATTAAGACTACAGGAAATCCGATTTAACAATTTAACAGTCTTTTAATTGACTGCCATAGAAATGTACATGCCCCTGTTTTAGTTCTAGTTTAATCAAATGTTCTGGAATTCAATTTTTTTGTAAAAGACATTGCAATTCCTATACTTTCTTGTAATTATATCTTGGACTTTGAATATCTTTAGTTGAGAGGGCTAGCATTATTATGTAGGATAAATAACAAATAAAGGAGAACAGGTGCTGTTACAGAAAAACGTCCTTACCCAAGGTCACATGACACGTTCCATTACAATGCTGTAGCGTTTACACTCTTGGTGTTCAGAAACACTACAACATGTATATTATAACATTTTATCTATTCTTGAAAATATTTTAATTTTTTAATTAAAAAATGGCTGTGAGTAAAACTTGGGATGATGGCATGTTTTATTTACACAATTATTTTTTTTTTTGTCTGTGCATGTAAACCATTTTATAAGGGACACTTTGATTATTCAACACTAATATCACTAAATGAATTGTTAGTGTTACATAATGCATTTTAAATACCAGCCAATATAGACATGCTAGAGTATTAGTTAGTCATAGTTTTAAATATATATTACCTACTACATGTATTACAATAGAATTGCATTGCTTGTTAGTTGCTGGTAGGTATTCCAAGTATATTAAGTTGTTCCTGATACATCACCATCCAAATATTATGTAAACCACTTTTCTTTTAAAATGTTAATATCATATCATAATTTAGTAAGCTCCATTTTTTTAATGAATGACACTATTCTTTCAAAGGGTATCTCAATTTTGAAGATAGTCCTTCAATTGAACTTCGTTCACTCATGCAAAATGATAGCTCCTTAACAATAAAAAATTAAATGGAATTTTACATTTAAGCTATTGATATTTTCTTGCATAATGTTCATTCATCAAAAAATTATATTTAAATGAAACATGAAAATAGATTTCATATTCATATTCATTCCAGTAATAGATTTTATTCATGAATTTTTGTATAGCTACATGTACATATAGTCTTGCACTGGTATATTTAATAGGCTTTTACTATGTAAAGTACAAATGATTTATTAACAATTGTTAAACAAAATAGAAATTAGGGAATGTAGAAATATGGCTGTTGAATGCATGATTCACATTAGATAATTTTTTGACAAGTCCTTGTACCTACAGGGGCAGATATTGATGTGTGTGATAAGTTTGGGAACACCCCCCTTCATATAGCTGCCAGATATGGACATGAGCTATTGATAAACACGCTACTAGAGAATGGATCAGATCCAATGAAGTAAGTCAAACAGTGCATTAACAGTCATTAAGAATTTGAGAAAAAACTATTAGATACAGGAAGTTTGGAAATATAAATGTAATGCAAGGGAGGTTATCCCTAGAAAATAACACTTTAACAAGTACTGCAGATTCCTAAATATACATGCAGAATTTATTATTGCATAATTTCATGAGAGGGACCACTCATGAAATAAAATTGCTTTGTTTTCATATGCTGAAATACATGAAAAACTCTTTATCAACATTCCACTGGCCAATTCCTGTTCTGGCAAATTGTCATCTACGAGACATTTCATGATATTATAAGGAATGTAAAGTACATAAATGTAAATTCCATTTACATGATGTAAGGTTGATATATCTTTATATGTTGTGTATTTGTGATTTTCTTACAGGCGAGGCACCAGTGGCATGCTTCCTGTTCACATCGCAGCTTTAAATGGCCACGTGGACTGTGTAAAGAAGCTCCTCACGGCCATGGTTGACCTGGAAATCGACATCACGGACAACTTTGGGAGAACCTGCCTCCATGGGGGAGCATGTAGTGGGTAAGTTTGCAGAGCGGCTGTCTCTGCTGTGTGATGTACATTAGTACATGTTCACACTTGTATCTACATGTGTGTTACTTCTGTATACAGAGTAATTATCACCTCCATTTTGTTTTTGCCTTTTTCGCCTTTGTTCTTATATTCCTTATTGTGTGAGGAGGTCAATGATGAGTTAATTTTGCTTATGATGTTGATGGGTTGGTACTGTACTGATATATACATGTACATAGCATACAATGTAGTATGTTTTACATGAAATACATATAGATGCTATGTATATACCAACATATACATATACCTTAAATCTTCTTCTAGGATAGATTAGGTGTATCAGAATAAGAGAAGTAGGAGTCAACTCAATATTAGAAATTTAAAACATGCTTGTACAGAAGTTGTTCATAAATATTTTATTGTCAGATTCACATACATGTAGATATTATGCCATTCAAATGTATGATTTACTTGTATTTTTATTTGATGAAGTCCCATGATTTACATATATTTAATATTACAGGAGAGTAGAAGTGGTGGATCTATTGTTGAAGATGGGAGCAGATGTGCTGTGTGCAGACCATGAAGGGAGGTAAGCAGTCTTATTTCATTTGATCAGCCACTTATAAGGGCCACATTATGCAGGTGCTCTATAGTGATCAGTCTGTTCACCCATCTCTCCATCTAGCTGTCCATCTGATTTTATTTGTATTGAGTATGTTTTCTCTCCCCTTGATTGTGCATTGACCTGGAACTTATTTTCTAAATGAAAGGTCAAGGTCAGAAAAACCTCTGTGTGTAAAATCCTTGTTCAGAGCATATTTTTCTTCCCCTTGGTCCTACCTGGCTCAAACTTCACCCATAGAGTGCCTTTGGATAGATGGCATGCTGTGTCTTTCAGCCATGTTTCTTGATTAAAGATCAATCTTTGTAAAATTCTTTTCTTAAATAATTATCTCCCATTGGCCCCCTCTGTCTCATCTTCACCAAAGGAGTGCCTTGAATAATGGGTCACTCATCCTAATGCCCTTTGATAAAAAAAGGGAGGGGAGGGGGGGGGGGGGGTCACGGTCTCAATGATATTTAGTTCAAATTAAACATGTAAATATGTAAGTACACAGGTAAAAATTGAGGTATTATTTTGGCCTGAACATAGGTTGTAACCTTGTAGATGTATTGAATGCAATATTTCAGTTTTTATATTGTGTTTGTATTTTTTTGACAGGGTGCCTTTACATTACGCCAGTGCACACGTTCACGGTCAGTGTGTAATGTCCCTTATAAATGCAGGCCGAGCTGCTGTCAATATCACTGACAGACGAGGCTGTACACCTCTACACTATGCCTCGGCTTGGGACCATGATGCAAAGTATGTCACTTTTTGTCTTGTTTACAACCTTCGTTTTCATCAGTAAATGTACTTCATGTGTATGTTAAAGGGCGTGCTGTATCTATGTAGTAAACTCTTAAGGGAAGAATTAAATTGGAATTATCAACTACCAAATGCGTGGTGCTTTGGAAATGTATTTTGTCTTCTCTAATTGTACAGAGTTGTGGAACTGCTACTTAAGAATGATGCCAGACCAAGCATAAGAGACCACGAAGGTTTTAACACGTTACACTATGCAGCTGTGAAGGGACACAGGCTGACCTTAGAAATGGTTTGTACACATCAAGGACTAGAGGAATGAATATTAGAGTTGTCAATGTGTAAATGGTTTACTGTCAAATGATGCAAGTATCCTTAGTAAAACTGTTACTTAATTACTAAGATTTTTTATTCTATATAAAAAAAAATATAAGACAAAAATAATATTTTCTGTTGGGGAGGTTTAAACTGGTTCATTGTTTTATTTGCCATCAGACACAATTTTTGTACATGTATGTTTTTCATTTCTTGTAGTTATTAGACTGTGCCTCAACAGATTTAATACGAAGTGGAGCTCCCTTGTCTCCAGCCCATATAGCGGTCAGTATATTAAGGAAGTCACTATAAACACTTCTATATCATAACATATCAGTTGCTAATATATATATATATATGTATGGCAGTCAGTTTAATGAATGTTACTAATCTATAGCAGTCAGTCTAATGAAAAAGGTACCAATACTCATGCTAAGTGGAAATCATAAAGAATAAATTATTATCAAATGTTGTGGGCAGTTCAGTGAAATAAATATAACCAAGTGAATAGATAATGCAGTGCTTAAGTGAATTTTCATTGAAATGAGCTGTATTAACTGTGGTGTTTTATACTTTTTTATTTATTTCTGATTTTCAGGCCTATAATGGACATAATGAAGCACTTCACATACTCCTAGGCTGTATCATGAATCTGGATATCCGAGATTCGCATGGTAAGACATCTCATGATCTCTCAAGTGGCTCAAGTGATTTAAGAGTGTCCTGTGTTTAATTTGTGTTCTTGCATTTTGTCAGTAAATGTTTTACTTTTTCATTTTCTTCTCAAGAACCTAAAAGGCCTCTTCAATGAAGGGGATTTAAGATTATTCAAATAAAAGGACAAGTCCTCTGGTGACAAGGGTTGGGGATTAATAAATAATTAAAAAGGGAAGCAAGAAGAAGCTTCTTCCCTAAAAAAAATCAAAAGTTACATAAAAGCTTTAGTCTTGATTAAGAATTATTCATATGATAAGTCACAAGGTTAAGGTGGCATCAAAGTAGGGGTTCAAAGCTTTACACAATAATACAAAAAAGAATTCCTTCATAAATTCCTACACAGAAATTCAAAGCCGTGCAAATTCAAAGTTTGTTATAGTCTTGACCCAAGGGGAAGGACGTAATCACTAGGGTCTACGTATTAACAGGAAATATAATTATACAGTATGTATAGAGAAATGCATAGTTGTTTCTGCACAACAAGACTAAAATATAATCACTGACTCATTGGGAAAGAGCCTTTGCACCAGCTTTGATATCCTTGTTTCAAGATAACAACAATTTTAGAAGCAAGTGTAATTTCAAGTTTATTTGTGCTAACAGAGAGATAATTTTACAGGACGGACTATGCTCGACCTGGCTTGTCTCCATGGCCATGCCGAGTGTGTGGAGACACTCTTACTACAAGGTGCCGCCATTTTGGTCCAGGATAGCACCACCAGAAGGACACCACTTCACTCAGCAGGTGGGGATGCCTCCATTCTCAAGCATATTTTTAAAATAAATGTAGTTTGCCAACAAGGAGTGTTTTAATTGTTATTGAGGTACAAAGCAAAGATTGTGAAGCTTGAAGTTCATTTTTTAAAGAAGAAAAATAAATCTGATTTTATCATTATGTTTCACATTTTGAAGCTATGAATGGACATACCGAATGTTTACGGCTGCTGATGGAAACAGCTGAAGACAGCAATATCGTAGATTGTACAGATGTTTATGAAAGGTAATAACCTGGAACAAGAGGGTATGGTCTATGAAGAACTGAACTTGAATCCAAATACTTAATTCTTATTTCTGTAATAATTTGAAAACACAAGAAATATACATACAGTTTTTAGTCAATTAAGACATTTTCCACTGTGTAATAGTATTGTATAGTAATATATATAATATGTAATGTATGTAATAATATAATAATGTGTAATACTGTTATATTACGTTGTTTCAGAACTCCATTAATGATGGCTGTGGCCAATGGACATGTAGACACAGTGTTATACCTCATAGCTAATGGTGCCATAGTCAACGCTAAAGATAGCCAAGGAAGGACTGCTTTACATAGAGGGGTGAGTTACAACTTAGAATAACTGTCTAAACCTATTCAAGTCACAAACTTTATAAAGCTCATGAAGCATAACGAAATCATGGCAGTTTAGGTTCTTATCTTAAATTATGCAGGACCAAAAGTCATGACAATTTAAGTTCTTAATATGTTAAATGATGTTGAACCAATTGTTTGGTTGTATAATCCGAAACAGTGATATCACTCTATTGGTCTTTAATTAATAAAACGGAAAAAGAATCAAGGATATCAGAGTCATAAAGTTGAATTTGATTATCCAATGGTATGTATATTTAAGTACCATTAAATGTTTTATTTTTTCCCCAGGCTGCCAATGGACATGAGGAGTGTGTAGATGCCCTCCTACATAATGGAGCTGATGTTACTGTCCGGGACCACAGAGGGAGAATGCCTGCCTACCTGGCTGCCACCTGTGGTCAGGTGTGCATACTGTCCAATCTCCTCGCGGTAAGTCAAATGGACAAGTGTTCATTCATTCATACTGTCCAATCTCCTCGTGGTAAGTCAAATGGACAGGTGTTCATTCATTCATACTGTCCAATCTCCTCGCGGTAAGTCAAATGGACAGGTGTTCATTCATTCATACTGTCCAATCTCCTCACAGTAAATCAAATGGACAGGTGTTCATTCATTCATACTGTCCAATCTCCTTGCGGTAAGTCAAATGGACAGGTGTTCATTCATTCATACTGTCCAATCTCCTTGCGGTAAGTCAGATGGACAGGTGTTCATTCATTCATACTGTCCAATCTCCTCGCGTTAAGTAAATTGGACAGGTGTATGTACAATCTATTCTCTTGGCTGTAATTAAATGGACAGGTGGACATCCAGGTTTGAAGAAGTCAGGGTGAATGCACCTTTCTGACAATTACATGTAAAATTTAGATGCAGTAATAACATATTTGAAATACGAGGAGATGTGATAAGTTTGATTTCATTTTGTAAATGTACAGTGGTAACATGCATGTAGTGCTGGAATATCACCATATCTTGCTTTTTATTTGTAGATGGGACCTAGCAGTAGTAAATCTGAGGATCAGTTAGGATATACACCTTTACACATAGCTTGTTATAATGGTAAGGTTTTTTTTTCAGTGCATGTAATTGGCAGTTTTAAAACTACTCAAATTTCAAATCTGTCAAAAGATTGTCAAATAAAGTAATAGCCTGTTTATTCCAAGATGAAGTAATACCCTGTTTTTTGTATACACTGCAGGCCAAGACAACTGTGTGGAAACCATTTTAGAACAAGAAAAAATAACAGAGCTTTCAGGGAACCCCTTCTCACCTCTTCATTGTGCTGTGTGAGTCTATAGCAGATCCACAATAATTCTCAGTCAAATTCTGACATGTAACTAGAAAAAGTATCATGTAAAGTACATATACCTCTTCTGTAAACCAGTATATAAGAAAATATAACATAACAAAGACGTATAATGTGGTTGTCTTTTATATTTTTCTATATCCCTGAGACTGTTTTGAGGATTAAAATTTATACCATAAACCTGCACTTTTAAAATTCATGAATTTTTTACATTAAACAAAATGCTACATACATGTACATGTAAATTTAAGATTCTTGTTAATAATATTTCAGGATAAATGGAAATGATACTTGTACAGAAATTTTATTAGAAGCTTTAGGTGATAAAATTGTGAACTTAACAGATAGCAAAGGAAGGTAAGAGGTTCAATAAAGGTTATATAATATGTACACTCTGTTTATGTCAATTAAGTCTGCAAAATGCTGCTAAATGTTGTTTGACTGTTTTAAGATCTTGTCAGATAGATTTAAATTGTTTTTACTACTCTGTAAATAAAATGTTTTGCAGGAATATATGTATGCAAATTAGAAATTTAGATGTTTATTAGAGTATGCAAGCTCAATGTTAAATAAATGAATTATGTGATAACTTGTTTCTGTGTAGGACACCCTTACATGCGGCAGCCTTCAGTGACCAGTGTGAATCTATGCAAATGTTACTTAACCATGGGGCACTGGTCAATCACTGTGATACAACGGGGAAATCCCCTATCATGCTTGCTGCAGCCAATGGCCATGCAGCAGCAGTAGGCAAGTTATTTATAGATTTGTTGTTTGGAAATTCTTTCAGACTGGAGATCCCCCAGCCAAATGACTTTGAAAGAAAAAAAAATTAAAGTTAATTCATGTTCAGGGTTAACAGTTTTCTTGGGTTTCCAACCATTTTCATGCCATGTACTGTATTTGCCTTGTCATTTGTCAATAACTATTTCTTGATCCAGTTTGAAAATGAAGGTTTAAATACATGTACTTATCACACAGAGGATTAATTTTTGCAGAAATTGGTTTCCCATTAATTTAAATGTGCTTGTGACAAGTTTGTTTTCTTTTATTGTTGTTTATGTTTTTCTTTCACAGAATTATTATTAGAGCAAAATGCTGATCTTTCGTTAACTGATAATGAGGGAAATTCTTGTCTACATTTTGCCTGCTCAAGAGTAAGTACTTGTAACATGAAAAAGTACTGCGAAACCAAAGTCTTGAGATCATAATTTTTTTTTAAAAAGAGCTATTTAAGAGCTATAAAGTGTGCAAAATGCATAATACAGTTTTAGTGTTGTATATAAATGTTGGTGTTCTTGGAATATTATTTTCAAAATGATGAGCAGAAGTTTTATATTTCATCTTGTAGCCCTAAATATTTGTTATTAAATTTGAGATCTTATTTAATGAAAACCTATTTTACATGATACTAATTTTATTTCAGGAGCATGAAAATGTGGCACTTCTTCTCTTAGACAAAATCAATGATTCCAATATCTGTAATATAGCAAATCATGAACTAAAAACGTAAGTATTACATCAGGAAAAAAAACTTAAGGGTGTTTTCAGCTACTGTATACAGGGTTATTTTCACCCCGTGTTATTTTCGCCTTATCACACTTGAAACAATTCTACCTCATTTTAAATTCGCTCAGTCAAAATTCTAAGAAATAAAGTGTGTTTTGAATTTGCCCCGTTTTAAATTCACCCACCCATGAGTATGGTGAAAGGGGCGAAAATAAAACAGGGTAAAAAATTTCCCTGTATACAATATTATTACATATTCCTGTATGTAACAATACGCCCTTAAAACACAGAAATTAGTTCTGTAAAACAGAGACATTATTTAATGGTGTAAATGCGTCATAAACGTTAACAGGGAATGAGCCAAGAATCAAGATCTCAAACTTTAAAAGTATATGATGCAGTTTGTTTTGGGAAAGGGATGCAAGTGGGTGTATTATCTCCTGTATTAGGAAATTTAGATAAAGTCAAAATATGTTAGCTTTATTTTATTCCTTTTCAAGTTATAGTACATGTAATGCCCTCAGATAATTGTTCCTGAAACATGAATTGCATGTCCTGAGTTTTAGTTCATGTAAAGAACTATAAACTGTAGTAAGATAAGTATGGAATTCTTGGAAATCTTTCCCGCTGTCTGTTGCTTGAAATGATTGACTCTTCATAATTCAGATTGTGTACACACTGAGAATTGTAGTTTTAAGGTTGTATTTAACAATTCTGAAAAAAAGTTTCTTCACTGTTTTATTGCAGGCCCTTGCATATAGCAGCTAAATATGGTTTAACTCCTGTTGTACAAGATCTTATTACTAAAGGCAGCAGTGTTTTTGCTATAGATGAAAATGGTAAGATTTCTGTCTGAGCATCACTAAGCATGGTATGCATTACTCATGTATTCCAAATCTTTAAATATCAAATATGTGCATCTGACATTGATTGAGCACGTGTATTTTAAGATGATTTGCCTTTGAATCATTTTAGCTCATCTGAGCTGTAAGCTCAAGTGAGCTTTTCTGATCACCTCTTGTTTGAAAAACCGAATTTCAACTGTACAGTATATAGGAAAAAATCTTAATAAAAATCTTTCCTTCAAGAACCACTGGGCCCCCCAAAAAAGAACTTTATGTGAAATCTTTCAGACGTAGGGTACATTTTTAATTGTTGAAATCTTGGTCCCAGGGGATAAGATATGGCCACTATAGAGGATCAAATGTGAAAGCTTCCAAATGTGTAGATTTTAAATTGTTCAGATCAAGGCCTCCATGTGTAGACTGGGGCCACAATGAGCAATAATTATTTTGCATGGGATTATACAAGAATTTATTTTTTTTTAAAATCTTCCAAGAACAACAGTAGAAACATTCATTTGCATACATTCTCAAGTTACGTGGGTTAACTTTTTTTTCTTCATATTTTGGTCCACAGGTTAGAGTTTGCTAAAATTTGGATCACATATAAGGTATTTTCTCCTTAACTGCAAGGCCATGTAAGTCATATTGATATTAAAGCATTCCCATTTTGTGTTGATTCAGAGACTCAAAGAGTTAGAGTGGGGGCCATAATATGGGGTCACAATTTTTCATGGGAATATAAAATATTTTTGGAAATCTGAAGAACAGTAGGGCTAAAGTTACTCAGGTGAGCTTTGTGGCCCATGGGCCTCTTGTTTTCTTCTTGCTTACCTTAATGCTCAGCTTTGGTCATGAATTAAGTTCCTCTGTCGGTTCATTTAGAATGTTATGCACTTGAAAGTACATTTATCATGTTATTTCTTCTGAATTTCTGGAAATTAGCATGAAAAACTCCGTGGAAATGAACATTCAGGAATGAATTTGATAATAAATATGGTATTATTCCTCTTAAAGGATTTGATATTCATTCTGTTTAAAAAAAAAAAAAAGAAGAAGCAAGTTCCTCATGACAATGACTGAAAATTCAGGAAAGAAAAAAATCATTTTAGGAATGAAAATGGTAAACTGAATTAAAGTTTAATATTTACTGAAATGAGTAACAGGCTAACTTTACAAAGAAAATTGAGATAAAAAAAAAATACAAGACACCATATCAGAGTCCGTTTTCACAAAAATTCTTATGACTAAGATTAAAATTTGCCAACTCTGTAATTTCTTTGTTTAATAAAGGAAATTATTATTTTAGAAGAATAATTCACAGTATACAGTGATGTAATAGAAATATAAGATTTTTTTGTAACTTACTGCAATTTAGGTGCATATAGAAAAACTGGAAAATTTTAATCGTAGTCGTAAGATTTTTTTGTATAAAGGGCTACAGGTATTTAAACAACACTCTGAATCTATTTGAACTACTTTCTAAGCATCTTCTCATGCTGTGGTCTTGCCGCATTTTCATTCACTTTTCTCTGTCTCTGTTTCAGGCCATACTCCGGCCTTGGCATGTGCTCCCAATAACCGTGTGGCCGACTGTCTAGCCATTATTCTCGCTCATATGCCTCTTGCCCCAACCCCTAACAACGTCTATCCCAGAACCAATCGATTTGACAGCAGTACGCCTAATAACACATTTGGTAAGTCACTGCATTTATGTTTCATGGCATGAGTTTGTGGAAAGTACAATGTACCTTGCTAATAATAAAATATGCCTTTGTAGATGTGCATGCTTTGCTAAATGTCATCATAAAAAGATTGTTCATTTTTTTAATGAATTTTCTTAAAAGTTCTTATTGATTAAATGTGATTGCAAGTTATAGGCTAATGCTCTTGAAAATAAAGTGGCAAAGTTAAATAAAAGAGAGCAATGAATTAGTTGAATTGAGATAATGTTTACAACAGCAAAGTTTAGAAAAGTAAATGATGTTGTTTCATATAAGACACTTTCTTGCAGGGGGGACTAGAACACTGGAACCAACAGGGGACCAGATTAGCATAGGAAGCCCATCAAGTTCTGTCCAAGACGTAAAAGAACACTCTGGTTCATATCAAAGTTCTGACTCGGAGTTCTATTGAAACATAAAATAAAATATATCAGAGATCTGGAGGGCATGAACATCCCCACTAAACCATGTGGATAATATCCGAATGTCTGACCTGTGAGAATTTGTGCTTACTGCCATGAAGTTACCATTTCTACAGGGGACCAATTTTTTGTAAATGGAAATTTTGAGTGGATGCAATTTCATGTTTTTCGTTGTTGCTGTTACAAGTTAATGAGAAAGCAAACATTCAAGCAAGTTATTGAAAGTGAGACCACTGAAATGAAAGAAAACCATTTTATTGAGAGTGCATATTTATCACACAGCCATCGTACACACATAAAATGCTTATCTGACCACCCCAATATTATGAAACAAACAAAGAAAATTTTGAGACATGTTTGGCATGTTGCCTTATAGCTTCCTTTGATGAGTTTAAGAAGTTATGCAACTTGATCTATTATTGCTGTCTAAGTTCCATAAAATGTTACCAATTTTATATGTTTTTCTAAGCAAGTGATATTAAAGAGGGATATAGTTTAAAAGAGAGAAATGACATATGATACCAATATCTCCTTTAGAATTTTCTTTAGAGATGTGGACAAGTTACCTGAGAAAGGATTTCTTCCCCTAAATTTTTCATTTAACTATTTAGATTCTCACTTGATGTACATGTATTTTTGGTGCTTAACTGTAGTCACTGAGAACATTCTGATTCCTACCTCATTATTTTCAGGGTAGGAAAGTGGACAGTATACATGTATATGCAGTATCTAATTTTGCTATACAGTCCGTGCTGATACCAGAATTGTCTCTTCATCTTGTGCAAGAAATCTGTTGGTTTTTTCCGTTCTTTTTTATTTTCCTAGCTTAACTTGTCAAAACACAATGCGACTTTTCTCCTGAATTAATTTAAGTGGGGACCAGTGAGTTACTGTCTGATTAGGGTTTTTTTGGCAATTAACTTCCAGTTTTAATTGAGATACTAGTATAAATTATTAAATGCAAATTTTGTACTGAAAGTAGCTTCAATATTAGGAAGTGCTATTATACAACTAAGCTTGTATCAGGTTCTGATAAGTTCTTAATTTATTAGTTTATTATTGATTTTTAAAACTCTTTCGTTTCTACCAAGTAGAGATTTGATTGTCTTATTAGATGAGACAAGAACTGCCGGTGTTATGAAATGTTTCTCTTAATAAATTTCAATGTAAATACTTGTACTTAAAGATGTTCAATTTTTTTATACAGATTTATTTAACACAAGATATAGATATACCTATATTATAGAAAACTCATGTATATTTAATCGTTTGATATACATGTGTATATAAAGAATTATAAGTATTTTATTCAAAAGTTTTCACATTTATAGTGTCTCATTAAATCAGTATTTAAAATTAATTTTTTTTGCCAACTCTATCTTAATTATATAACTATTTGTGTTAATAGTATGCTAGTAACATGTATACTATAGGACCAATTTATATACTGCCTTTGTTAACTACATGTACATGTTATTTAGTATACTGGGGATTGCTAGTTATAAGCACAAATCATATCCATATACAGTCAAACCTTTTTATCTCGAAGTCGATGGGACCGAGAAAAAAGTTCGAGATATTCAAGGATTCAAGATATCAGGGGTAAAATACTTAAAGAATAAGTGGTTGGGACTTCAAAATCACTTTGACATATCCATGGTATTCGAAATATCAGTGTTCGAGATATCAAAGTTCAACTGTATTGTAACTCAGAGTTTCATTTTTAGAAACTGTGCTGGAAATAGAATTTTAACACCAAATTTACACAAACATACAGATATTTTTTTCAGCCTGTTGTTCCAGCATAAAAGTTTTGATTAGATAAGCTTAAGATTCCTAACCTGTGTATTTAAAGTTGAAATGTATATAGCTTTTCATACAAACCATTTAAATGCTTTATTGAGTAATGGAATCATTTCAATGCTTTATTAGATCATTTTCAGTGTTTCATTACCATTTAAAGGGTATACAAATATAATAATTTAGCAAGTTTTCAAGGGAAATAATTTTTTATTAATGCTTATCAGTCTTGTAAGGAATATAATAAGTTGCTTTATTGGGTCATCCAGGGAGTTTTTTGTCAAAGCTTTTCTGTAAAAACAGTAAAATCACTTATTTTAGTGTGGAAAATTTTTCGGGTTTTGATGAAAAAGAGATTTAATTTAGTAATTGAAGTTGACAGACAAACATGATACTTAGTTTGAAATTTCGTGGAGGACATTAATGGGTGGGTTGTGTCGTACCATGAAAATCAACCACACAAAAATTATTAGTAATTTCACAGTATTTAAACAAAAAGGAAAAAAGGGAGACAACTTTAAAAGTCATTTATTGCAATGTTAAAATACTTCTTTAGATATCATTTTGTGAGAGGAAACACAAATTTCATAATCAGAAAGCACCCATATTCCCGAAGAGAGAATTGGTCTACTCATATCACAGGTTATATTTTTGTGTGTATGTATTACCTTGATTGGTTGGTTGAAATTACTTTTAATTTTTTCCCAATGTTGTTGAATTTTCAGAGTTTAAGTACAAGTTGAATTTAAATTGCATTCTTATGATGAAATAACCCAGATTTTGTTTGCAGTAGAGATTTCTAATGGTTGTCCAAATTCAGTAATAAAATAAATGGCTGTGGGTTTCTAGCTAACTTCAAAGAATTATGCAAGAAATATTTTATATATATATATATATATATATATATATATATATATATATATATATATATATATATATATATATATATATATATATATATATATATATATATATATATACATACATACATACATACATACATACATACATACATACATACATATATATATATATATATATATATATATATATATATATATATATATATATATATATATATATATATATATATAATGTCATGGGTATACATTGTAATGCCTTTTTAATCATGCTGGCATTTTTGTAGAAACACTTAAGGATACCTCCATATTGATTAAAGAATTAGGACTTTAAGAAATTTTATCTGTAGGCAGATTTTGTATTACAGTGAGTGTGTTTGTCTATCATTTACACTGAAACATAGATTTATTTGAATGAGTTGTCCCTCTTTTCAATATTCACATCTCTCTCACTGTGGTGTTTTGTGTGTTAAATGATTTGAGATGAATTTAGTTACTAGTATATATTAGATATTTACTGTTTTCTCATTATTTAATTGAGATACAGTTTTAAGGACCTAAAACATTAATTTTGTTTGAAAAACAATAACATAATAATTATGTTGTCCAAAACTCAGATGGATAGTAAAAAACATAGGAAATAAAAGGAATTTAAAACACGTCTCTTTGTTAGTGTGATATTTGCCTTAAGTTACCAAGTTGAAAGGGTCTTATCGTACGTCTGGCATGATTGTAATAAGCACTGGGCTCTCTACCAAAATTATGATATTCTTGGCCCCAGGATCAGGGGTTCTAGAGTTACGGGGTGGGTGTGTCGGTATATATTGTCGTTTTGTAAATATTATCGTTGGCGACAATATGCACATATCCTCACTGCACATATTGTCGTCCATCGAAACGTATTGTCGTCCGCTGAAAAATTGTACATACTGTTGGTGGTGACATTATGTGCCACCTGTTTTTGAATGGTTTACCACCAGCTGGATAAACTAAAACTTTACATTCTGTGTTTAAATGCTGTATTATATAAATGAATTTATCAATTTTAAAGAGGAATTTTTTGTGCATTTTGGTTTCGATAAAATGAATTTGCAATTTAGTAAAATGTGATTCTTAATCTATTTTTTGCAAAGGATGTATTAACAATTTCAAAGGAATTGACCTATAGGAGAAAAAAAGTCGCATTAAAAATCAATGTTCATGATAAAATGTCAATATTATGTTAATTTTAGTGTCTGGGAGGTATGGAAACCTATATATCAAATTTGATGCAGAGGAAGGGTTATGAAAAACATGACTTGTGAAATGTAAATATAAGTAATATATGTCCATTTTTGGTGTTTATGAGGTTGATAAACGACCTGAAAGCAAGTGATAGTTCTTGTATAAGTAACTTCTTGTCCCATTGTCGGTCTTCACCACATAATGTTAACATAATGTTGACATTATGAAAAAAACCCACTTAAATCATTATGGTAATTACGAAATTTGATTGATGATGAAAGTTTCATTTTTTTGGACTGATATTTTGGTTAGATCTCGTAGAGTACATTTCATTCAGAGAAGGGTCACATATATATCGGACACACGTTTGGTGACTCATTATCAAATTGCAAAACTGGGTCAAACTCCAAGACCAAATATGATGGTACTCAAAACAAGAGGCCCATGGGCCACATCGCTCACCTGAGCACACTGGCTAGACTAAGGCACAAATCAATTCAGTAATGAACGGGGGGTGGGGGGGAGGGTGGTGCTTGAATTTTAAACTACCTGATGATGCTTTCCTGTCAATATAACAAATGAATTTGTTGTACTTGAGAAGATTTTAAAAGAATTTTCCCATTTATTCATTTGTAAAAATTTGATCCCCCATTGTAGCTCCTCCCTATCTCAGGGGTAATCATTTGAACAAACTTGAATCTACATTACCCGAGGATGTTTCCATATCAATAAGACTAACATAGCTTTTCTGTTCTTGAGAAGAATTTTTTTTTCTATATGTTCTGATGTAAAACTTTCGATCCCCCATTGGGCCCCACCCTACTCCCGGGGGTCATCATTTGAACAAAATTGAATCTACACTACCTGAGGATGCTTCCATATAAATTTGACTCCTCATGGCTTTGCTGTTCTTGAGAAGAAATTTTTCCTATATATTTCTATGTAAAACTTTGATCCTCCATTGTGGCCCCGCCCTACCCCTGGGAGCCATGAATTGAACAATATTGAATCTACACTTCCTGAGGATGCTTCCATATAAACATGACTCTTCATGGCTTTACTGTTCTTGAGAAGAAGATTTTTCCTATATATTTCTAAGTAAAATTTGGATCCTCCATTGTGGCCCCGCCCTACCCCCGGGGGTCATGATTTGAACAAACTTGAATCTACACTTCCTGAGGATGCTTCCATATAAATATGACTCTTCATGGCTTTGCTGTTCTTGAAAAGAAGATTTTTAAAGATTTTTCCTATATATTTCTATGTAAAACTTTGATCCTCCATTGTGGCCCCGCCCTACCCCCGGGGGTCATGATTTGAACAAAATTGAATCTACACTTCCTGAGGATGCTTCCCTATAAATATGACTCTTCATGGCTTTACTGTTCTTGAGAAGAAGATTTTTAAAGACTTTTCCTATATATTTCTATGTAAAACTTTGATCCTCCATTGTGGCCCCGCCCTACCCCCGGGAATCATGATTTGAACAAACTTGAATCTACACTACCTGGGGATGCTTCCCTATAAATATGACTCTTCATGGCTTTACTGTTCTTGAGAAGAAGATTTTTAAAGATTTTTCCTATATATTTCTATGTAAAATTTTGATCCTCCATTGTGGCCCCGCCCTACCCCCGGGGGTCATGATTTGAACAAAATTGAATCTACACTTCCTGAGGATGCTTTGCTATAAATATGACTCTTCATGGCTTTACTGTTCTTGAGAAGAAGATTTTTAAAGATTTTTCCTATATATTTCTATGTAAAACTTTGATCCTCCATTGTGGCCCCGCCCTACCCCCGGGGGTCATGATTTGAACAAAATTAAATCTACACTTCCTGAGGATGCTTCCCTATAAATATGACTCTTCATGGCTTTACTGTTCTTGAGAAGAAGATTTTTAAAGATTTTTCCTATATATTTCTATGTAAATTTTTGATCCTCCATTGTGGCCCCGCCCTACCCCCGGGGGTCATGATTTGAACAAAATTGAATCTACACTTCCTGAGGATGCTTCCCTATAAATATGACTCTTCATGGCTTTACTGTTCTTGAGAAGAAGATTTTTAAAGATTTTTCCTATATATTTCTATGTAAAACTTTGATCCTCCATTGTGGCCCCGCCCTACCCCCGGGGGTCATGATTTGAACAAACTTGAATCTACACTACCTGGGGATGCTTCCATATAAATATGACTCTTCATGGCTTTACTGTTCTTGAGAAGAAGATTTTTAAAGATTTTTCCTATATATTTCTATGTAAAACTTTGATCCTCCATTGTGGCCCCGCCCTACCCCCGGGGGTCATGATTTGAACAAACTTGAATCTACACTACCTGGGGATGCTTCCATATGAGTTTCATCTTTCCTGGCCCTGTGGTTCTTGAGAAGAAGATTTTTTAAAGATGCTATTCATTTTTCACTAATTCTTAATTATCTCCCCTTGAAAGAGGGCGTGGCCCTTTATTTTAACAAACTTGAATCCCCTTCACCCAAGGATGCTTTGTGGCAAGTTTGGTTGAAATTGGCCCAGTGGTTCTGGAGAAGAAGTCGAAAATGTGAAAAGTTTACAGACAGACGGACAGACGGACAGACGGACAGACGGACTACAGACAAAATGTGATCAGAAAAGCTCACTTGAGCTTTCAGCTCAGGTGAGCTAAAAAGGTCTTGTCACAAGGAATACACATGTGAAATATGAAAGCCATAGCTCCAGCTAATCAAAAGTTATGAGCAAAAGTTAAAGTATTTGCGGACAGACAGACAGATAGACAGACGGACGGAGAGGGCAAAAACTAATCTTCGATTACGGGGGCATAAAAATAAAGACAATGCATGTATGTTTTGTTGGTCATTTGATATGAGTTTTAGTTGATGAAAAATGAATAATGAAAGATATACGTAACATACTTAATAAAGAAATCTATATCATTTGTTTAGCATTACTTTATTAAACTATTATAGTTTAAATGGTTCCTCAGTTAAATTTTTATATATATATATATATATATATATATATATATATATATATATATATATATATATATATATATATATATATATATATATATATACTGATATATACTGCATTGAGATTTTCCAAAGAATGGAGGATGATCAATATTTCCAGATTTGTTTTCAATAATTATATTTAATATGTTATAACCTTTTTTTCTGGGTATTTTAGATTTAGCGAACAGATGATATAGAATTTTTTTTTCATACTCTATAATCATCGCTTTTTTCACTGGAGATAAAAAATGAACATAATATGGAACCTGGAGTTTCGATTTTGTGTGATTTGAAATCATAATGAACTAGAAATATGTCCATATGACATGAATACCCAGCTCAAAGTGTGTAAGTATTGCGACATGAAAAGATAAGTACTTGCTTCTGTTTGAGCGATTATTAAATTATGATGAAAAAGGAAATAATTTTCACGACCTTTTTTAAATACAAAACTTATTCCTGTAGTGAAGTACAGTTTTTGTTTTTGTAGCATGTTACATTTTCGCTAGCCAAGGGTTTCTGATCCACACCGCTTTTTGAGAAGCCGTTCGGATCAGAAACCCATGGTTAGCAGGGATGAGCATGTTGGTTCATCCCAACAAACTGTTGGTTCATCCCAACAAACTAACAGATAACAGCTTAATAAAGTTTCATACTTAAATGTTCATTCATTTAAGGCCAAAGAAACAGAAAATTTGGACACAAGTTGAGTAATTCTCACCAATATAAATCAGTAGTTGAATACCTGAGACTGCCGCTCTCATCAATATGTATCAGTATATGAAATTTAATAATTGAAACTGAGCTAAACGCATCGTGATGGACGGACAGACGAAAGGCCGGACAGAAGATCGAAAGGATGGATATGGTAGAAATGAAATTCCTATTTATTCCAATAGTTAACCATAGTTTAACTTATCACTATAGTTAAGGAGGGATTCTTCTCATGGGAACACTTATTTCTTATATTTAAAAATCAATGAAATTTTCACAGAATCAAGAAGACACTATCACTAAGTGATGGTATCAATTAGATTAAATTTGACCGTTTTATATTAGAGGCAAGGTCAGGTCTAGGTCAGTACCTTTTCCCTGGACATTAAGAATAAAAAATTACTGTTTCCAGTAATGAGATGCCTACTTCTATTTCAATGAATTAAATGTTTTTCTTTTTGCATAAAGAGATATTACCATATATAGGGTATAGGATATATAGGATATTGGCTAATCCGATTTTTCTCTATTTTTCTTACAATTTTAAGATATTTTAGTTATTTTTATATGCTTCCTATATTTAAATTTTTCTTATTTTCACATATGGTAAAGTTGTCAGATAAAGATACAAAATGATATAAAAACAAAAAGTTTTGACCGTTTACTAAGAGAGAAAAAACACTTTTTACGGATTTTGGGCTCAAATCTGAACTTAGATTGGAAGCTTTTAAAAGCTAATATAATTGTAGTTTGTTTGGAAAATCAAATGTATTTGATATATTTTAAAACTTTAGTCCCTTATTATTAATTTAACTCATTAAATCATTTAAAGATTTTCTCCAAGTCTTTGATTGTGTAAAAATTATAACTAAATAACTAAAAATTATAACTAAATTCATTGTTCTATAATTATTTTGAGAGGCAGAAAAGAAGATATTTTCATACGCCGCCTTTCCGCCAAAAATATAGTCCCTGCTAGATTTCAAACTCAGTTTACCATTTCTATTTAAAGCTGTGCAATTGTGATGAGGAAAGAAAAATATGATCTTTTAAATCTCTTACATCTAAATATGTAAAACATATAAGCAAATGTACTTTGAATATTTCATCTAGTCAGAAACCAGACAAGAATCCCTCCTTAAGCATAGTTTTCAAAGTTATCACTATAGTTAAACATAGTTTTTAAAGTTATCACTATATATCGTAAATCAAAGTGTTAAAGTGATCATTATGATTAATCAAAGTTAAAGATTTACCACAACTGTATATAATGTCCTGTGGTAGAAGTCTCAATTAATTTCATATTAATTGCACAGAATAAATAATTTCCAGTTTTACTGATTTTCTCATTTACCAGAGTTATCTGTTGCTATCATGTATTTTAAATAAGTATATTAATAGCATTAAGTAAATCAAACAAGGTGTATAGAGTTATCATCTTATATTATATTATAAGATGATAACTCTTTTCATCTTGTTTGTTTTACTAAATGCTATTAATATACTGTAATTTACTAATATGAAAAAGACCAAGTAAAAAGAAAGACAAATAATATTCTTTTAAGAAATGCTTAGCCAGTATAGTAGTCATTGAAAACATTAGGTTTCAAAAAGAATTACTGAAAATAAATTTTAAAATAAACTGTAATGCACACAACGTGCGACAAAATTATAAAAAAAACAACTAGTCTATTATACAGGAGGACTATTTGCAGCCGCATTTGATGGAAGATGCTTAATACTATTAGTTTAGTGGTTCACTTAAGCTGGTTTGACTTATAATAAAGATAAATTAAAACAAACTATATTAAAACAGGCATATCCTTACAAAAACTACAATATTTAATGATAGTTAACCATAGTTTACTATTGTTAACTAAAGTGATAACTTTTACATTTTGATTAACTATAGTGATAACTATGAAAACTTTGATTTACTATAGTGATCACTATGACACTATAGTGATAACTATGAAAACTTTGAAATACGTTAGTTTTCACTATGAAAACTTTGATTTACTATGGTTATCAATCTAATATACTTTAGATCGTTGTATATCATTTTTTTTTAAAATTTAATATTGTCTTTTCACGTAAGGTATTTGCTCTTCCTTAGATAATGTGTCAAGGTATATATATCAAAAGATTTATTGAAAGTCTAGTCTAAATGTGTCTCTTTGCTCCTACCTAATTTCTGGAGTCACAAAAATGACTTAACTTGATTCAATGCAAATAAGATATTGTACAGTATAGTACTAGGTCTCAAGGTCAAAATTAAAATGAGATAATTTCTTAAAGTATTTGAGATGTTTGACCGCTTTTCTAAATAAATGCAAGCGAGAATAGAGAATATATTACTATGACTTCACACAACAGTTCTGCCATTTCTAGTTCCAAACACAAATCCCTTGGCTTTCTATAAGATCAACGTACATTGTATATTGTAAAACTGGAGATTCAGGCGTTTAAATACTAAGTTCCAATACAATGCATAGGAAAACTTGAAAGAAATTATTAACATTCTTTATTTTGTAAATCCTACATATTTTCCCGATAATGATACGTGTACTGAGTTTTTCTGTATGGACATTCCCTGATGAAGAAACCAAGGTTGCCTCCCATCCTGAAAATATTAATATCAAAAAATTAAAAGGACGAATGCTATAGCAAAAAGCTAAATTCAAATTCAAATTCCTTATATCTGTGCAATGATTATATTTTGATTTAATTGTTAAAATAGATCTAAGAATTAATTAGGCTATATACACTTCTATCATCTTACTGCATTTAATCTGAAAAAAAAAAAATAATGAAATTCCACGATATCTCATATTTGTTAGTCTTTCATACATTTTTCTTCCCAACTATCCGGGGTATTTCTATGTTTAAATAATGTATTTCAAAGATAATAAAACATGATATTTCACAAATGAATACTTCAATGATTTTACCATGAAAACCTTTTGGGACGTAAAATATGTTCTACCTACCCGTCTGGCTCTGGGTCAGTTCCAGTGATTAAAAAACCTGGACCGAAAGGTGATGCAAAATTTTCCCGCGTTCGGAACCATTCCCCACATTCATCGTTATTGTAAGAAGCTCCAGACACTATAACATGTATAATTATATAAACAAGAAATGAGTGAAACGTGGCAAAACTCTCAGTATAAAAATGGTACATTCCCTATTTACTGTTTGTGTTTAATTTTCATTGATCTTAGAATAAGTCAACCGATATACATAAAAGATTTATAATTTTCGCGTTTCGTATTTTTTTTTTTAAAGTTTACTATAAAGTTTACGATCTATTTTATCTTATATTGTTTTGATACCAAACTTTCTCAGGAGGGCACAAGTCAAAACTTTTCTACGGATTAAAACATGCAAAAAGTTTCGAGATAAAGTTTAATCTGTCTGTCTATCCATTCTACTTTCTGATTTGGTTGTATGTCTATCTATCTATCCCACTGTATGTTTGTATAGCTGTATGTTTGACTACAAGATACTTAAAAGAAATCTTAAACATATTTCATGGTATTTATAGTCGGGCCTCTTTTTACGTCTCTATGCGCTAGAGTGAATCAAGGATTGGCTTTAGTCAGATTGGATTTTACAAAATTTAAGGAAAAACCGAAGCTTAGGATGTGAAGGAATTAACTGGATTTTATGACTGATGAGGATGAAGAAAGTGATGCTTGAGTTATCTGATGTATTTCCTCTGCCTTTAAAAAAAGTGAACTGTGTATCCCAATAAGTTATCAACAATTCCAATGCAGTCTTATAGAATGTCAATAATGGCAGGCTAGAATAAGTTAGATTTGGAGGATATCCCGATAATGCAGATGCAGATTAATTATCATCTATACTTTCTAATATTTGACTTTTCCATTTAAATTTGCCAAAATTACTAGCATTATTGGAACCAATGTATACATAGATAGTAAAACACTCGAACTCTACGAAGTCTGTCTTATAGAAATGCAATCTGTTATGTTATTAAGGTATTACCTATTATTGAAGAACGTCTAAGACTATTTGAGAGTAGTTTCTAGCTGATACAAACCAGAACAGCATATAGCTCGTCTCTGTCCTCCATCATTGATGAATCCATTGAGGTAGCCTTTCTGTGGACAAACGAACCGTTCAAATTCTCCAAGGACTTAAACAGAAAAATTAAATCAAATATAACATATATAAAGGGGTTATATATGTTAAAACTTTATCATTACTGCATAAGACAAGTTTAAAAAAGTCAGAAATCAAGACAGGTTGAAAAAAAAATTGCGAAAGCTAATGATTTTTTTTTCGTCTTTGATAAAAACTTAACTTACCGAGAATGAGACATTGGTTTACATTTCCTGGTGGAGGCAGACAAAATGCCGAAAAAATAGAGGTTGTATCGCCCCGAAAAACAAGCGCTCCATTGCCTGTACAGCTCGGATTTGACACACCAGAAAGGGGTTCGGTGTTTTCTACAATGCATTAGGTCGATTTCTAGATCTAAATTTAAAATATTCCTTAAAATGAGTTCCAAAAAGCAATATTATTATACTTTAAGTTCACGGTTACTTAATAAAAATAACATTGACCAATTCCTACCTTGAACAACATTCCCCAACCTGATTCTTTCTGCTTCTGCCGTCAACATTCCGAAAAAGCAAAGAAATACAATTAACATCATGTTCTCTTTAACAAGAAAATTAGTTTTTTCCCATCTTTTATAGGTATAATGTATTTCATAATGACTTACATCTGTTACTGTTTATTTGATCGACTTAATAAATTGAGAGTCTTATGAATTTTAATTTCTAATGAGGATATGTGAAATAAATCAGAAACCCCCAGAGTACACAGAACAATTGATAATAAACTTCAGGAAATAATAAATATGTCATGCAATAATCTATCTTCATTGAGCATTTTTATGCTTATATTGTGCTCTTCATTTTGCATTTGCATATAATTTCTGTCAGATTTTTTGCAAGAGAGAGAGAGAGAGAGAGAGAGAGAGAGAGAGAGAGAGAGAGTACTAGTTAAGATTTAGTATGGCTTTATTAGTTTTTCTAGTAATCAAATTTCGTGTTTAGGCAAAAATACAATTTTGTTGATATGAAATTCATGTGCAGCTACCTTCTGAAATTTTAACTTTAGTGAAATTTGTACTTTGTTGATCATCTAATTTTTGGTCTGGTTCGACCATGAAAGAATTGATTGGTTGATTGATTGTATGTTGTTTTACGTCCCATTCGAGAATTTTTCACTCATACAGAGACGTCACCATATACCGGTGAAGGTCTTCATATTTAGACCTTTACTAGGCACTCAGGGCCATTGAACAGTGAGGGACCTTTATCGTGCCAACGCCTGCCATGACACAGGGCCTCGGTTTTTAAGGTGTCATCCGAAGGACCCGCAACTTTCACTTCTCCGACGCCTTGCGAAGGAACAGTTGCTACCTATTTTTTTTATCGACTTAGGTCAGTCGCGGGCGATTTTCGAACTCACGGCCTATCGATTGAAAGAATTGAAAATGGGAGTTCAACAAAAAATGATAGACTTGAAATATCTGAAATGGTTTAGAGAAGAAAAAAAGGTATAATCTCTGTGTTAGCTTTTGCAAATGAGAGAGAGAGAGAGAGAGAGAGAGAGAGAGAGAGAGAGAGAGAGAGAGAGAGAGAACATTTAATACGACTTGCTATCAAATTTCGTACTTAAAAGCAAAACATACTTTCTTTCAGATTAAATTTTGATATCTGCATATAACAAATCTCTTTAAACTTAGCAAAATAGAATACTGAAAGACGTTTTTGTTAGTTGCTATCTTCAGACTGCAAGAGCTGATTTCCTGTGGAAACACAGCACCAGACATTACTAGTATTTGCTACAGCCTTAGTTCATACATCATGAATGTTGCAAACTAAGTCGATATAAGTAATGTTATTATCTTTGCAAGATTTCATGACACACAAGTTACCTGAATGACCCTTGCGAATTCCTACAGATAGTGTGAACTAAGTATAGCTGATTTAACTGATTTTGCTTCCCCTTTTGTAAGCATTTATTCACACGGCTTCACGTATCACGATATTTAACCCTTCATATTTTATTCAAATATTCTTTTTACATATGCTTTGAAATGAGAATCAATTTTAAATTGAAAGGATGAAAGTTGAAGATTATTTTGTCAAGTTCACAACTACATTATGTAACATTTAATTAGCTATGAACACAAGTAAAAAAAAAAAAAACAGGAGTAAATAAAGAAAATTACTTTTATTGGGTAAAACTAAAAAATAAGATAGTTTTATTTTAAAAAAAGTTAAATATCTTGATACACGGGTGATTTTTAGTGTATTGCGATATACCGGTATATCATTACACACCTGGAAAATTGAGAAATAATAAATAAAAAATGGAGTTGTCAAATAAACACGTTCAAACAATCTATGTTAATGAATTCATTAAATGCATCTAGGGGAACATCATGCTAATTAGAAATTTGTAAAAATGATCGCTGTAAAAATTAGTTGCGAAACACATTAAATTATCATTTTTTGGATATAAAAATTTGTTCATCAATCATCCTTATTATAATCACTCCTTACAGTTGAATGTCTTATAAATGCAATTGCAAATCATCATATAGGCAGTTAAAAACTAGTCAACGGGAAACGTACATGATGCTAAGTATTGTTTTGATTTGCTTGGTCGTAACATTTTCAGTTAACGCTGGACGAAAGAATTTAGGACCTATAATAATAGGTACGAAATATATTGGTTCACTTTTTAAAGATTCATAGACATAGATATCTGTTAAACTTAAAATATTTACGGACTGTTAGAGAATTTTTAAAAAGTTTAAAAATTAGTAATGGTTACAGTTATACTAGTGTGTGAATCTAAACATAAAACAACAATGTGAATGTCAAAGTGTATAGGAGATATTATTTATAGAACTCATATACCTCAGATAAACAAAGGAATCTAAAAAAAAATACTTGTGTACTAATTTCAAGATTAATTAAGGGTATTCTCATCATATGTAAGCACTCATTAAGAAAATTTCAATTTCTAGTGTAAGAACTTGTCAAACAAATTTTCAAAATATTCTGATTTAAAATTTGCAAAGTATATCTAGTTATTTGTTATGGTTTCTACAGCTATTTAGTTCCTTTTAAGCATATATTACCACCCCTTATATACTTAACCAGTTCATGTTTGCCTATGTGTCTCATATACAACGCAGTTAAATAGAAGACACTAATCTTATAATTATTACATTCATCAAGATGCGTTATGTTTTAGGTAGTTTTTGTGTTAATGCTTTAATATTTATATATTTCTTCGGTTACTTTTCTGTAGTAATCATTATGCGATGATATTTAACGTTTCTTGTAGAAAGATTTCCACCGACACGGAACACATTAAATCGGGTGTGTGCTGACGATGCTCCTCGGGTTTTCAGGGGCGAGGCAGTTTCAGTTGATTCTGAATTTTGTCTACCTGCTCCAGGACCAATTAAGGGGTGTTTCAATGTGGGTAAGACAAATAAAAAAAACTAAAGCAAAATAAATAAATAAAAATAAAATAAAATAACAAATTTTCATTTATTTTTGTTACATATATACATGTAATGTACAAGCTTCAGCTATATTTTTGAGTGTTACATTAATATATAATGCTCAAATTCCATTGATATATTAATTTCATAACGTCATTTTCTTTCGTCTCCAGACATCCATCCACTTTTTGGCCTTGTGTGTCCAAATAAGGCGTACATAAATGGGTTCTTGAACGACGGTAGAAGAAGGCGAATCCGTTGTTGCTCCGGTATGTATTAAAAACCCCTAAAATTGTCTTAAAAATTGGATAAAATTTTTCAAACATGAAAAATCATATAAAGAATACTATATGTCTGTCAAATAATTATAATTATTTGATAGAGCGTAAGAAAAACCTTCAATTTCTAATTTCTTCAACAGTATCCTCAAACAAGAGAGCTCGCATCGTGATCGGAAGGTCGTGTGTTCGAATCACGGCTGCGACTGACCTAAGTCGATAAAAATAGGTAGCAACTGTTCCTTCGCCAAGCGCTCGGCACTTTGAGGTGAAAGTTGCGGGTCCTTCGAAAGAGACCTTACAAACCGATCGAGGCCCCGTGTCACGATAGGCGTTGGCACGACAAAGGACCCAAATTGCTCAATGGCCTTGAGTGCCGAGTAAAGGTCTAAATTTGAAGCCCTTCACCGGTAAATGGTGACGTCTCTATATGCGTGAAAAATTCTCGAACGGGACGCAAAAAACATACAATCAATCAATCAACCCTCAAACAATATTCCTTAATATAATAAAAATAGATCATATGTATTTTGTTTTTAAGTAGGTTTAGTAATATTCAAATAATCTTGATAATATTTTTTTTTCGCTTCAACAGTCTCTTTTGCCATGTAATATACAGCTTAAGAGCCAAGGTTCGGATAAGCTATTCTGATCGAAGAGACAAGAGTACGACTGTCTTTCTGTATTGTTCTGCTTGTGTTATGTAAACTTTTCACATTTTAAACTTGTTCTCTAAAACAAATGGACCATTTTAACTAGATTACGACAACGCATTATAATTAGTGGGTAAAGGAGATTTGGATTTTGTCACATGAAGGACCACATCTTCTTTCATTAGAAAATAATGATTAGGAAATACGTGTTATTAAAATTGGATGGTATCTTTCAATAATCTTCTTCCCAAGATCCACCATATCACAAAACGTAAGAAATTCCTATATGAATGAAGATTTAATACTGATCAATTCATGCCCACGGAGGTAGGATGGGACCATAGCTGGTAATAAAACTTTTACACAAGAGTGAATAGGAAACTTCTTTACACACAATTTAGAAACATCATGGTTATGATACATTGTAAAGAAGCATCCTGTGATAGTGCATATGATAGTTAATCATATACTTAGTAGGGATTGCACCGCTTCAGCACTGTGTGATACGTGTGAAGTCACAATACCTCGCATCAACGACGGCTCCGAAAATCATATCACTTTCAGGTATCTGAAACACTGCACATCAAACTGAAATTAACGTTTTTATAAATTTCAAAAATTAATTAACTTGATTTATAGAAATATACATGTAAAACAATTCATGTACTAAAATGTTGACTTAATAAATTGTATTTTAAACTTCATTTGACTATGGATTATTCCGCTACACAATTATAATACTCAATACATACGGCTCACGGCGGGTGTAACTGGTCGATAGGGCATGATTTCTCCTCGTAGACACCTGATCCCACCTCTGGAATTTCCAGGGGTCCGTGTTTTTCTGCCCTTTTCACAGATTTGTATTATTTGTAGGTTTTATGAGATCGATCACTGCTCGTTATCTTGATCTTTGTTATTTTAAGAAAGAAGGTCATTTACAGGCATGAAAATGTTTACATGATATATGATATAGATTTTAGTATTTTGATATTCTCTATTTCTCTATTTCATCATATCATATATGACCCCTTGGGCAGCTTATGATCACGACAGGGAATTAAAATTGAGAATTGAAATTGTTAGGAAAGAAAATGTTAACCATTATTTTTCTCTGAAATCATACAAAATTATACTAATATGTAAGCATTACCAAGATATGTAGATTCAAGTTATTTTTTTTAAAATACAAAATCTGGGGTTAGGGTTGGGTTAAATTTGGAAATTATATTTAACATACATTTAGTGCATTTATTCAGGAAAAAACAAATGTATTTATTCAGGAAAAAATAAACAACAGCAATGTATTGATAGTAATATAAATATTAAAGCATCCCAATGTCTGTGGATATAAATTTGGTTAAGTCGTTACCCCTCAGAGCTCCATTGGCACCACAATATGCCTAAAACTTTTTATCAGTACAGAGAAAAAAAATGCTTTAATCTTCTGAAGTATATTACCAAGGTTACTGATGTGAGCGTTGTGGCCCATGGGCCTCTTATTTTTTGAGAATTGGTATATAATTTAGCATATTCGATAGAAAAAGAACCTGAATATTACCCCTGTTTTCAATAATTTATTCTGATATCTTTAAAGCACTTGGGGTCTCCTATACAGATAGAGAGTGTCGGGAATATTTCCGGACAAGACAAAACTTCAGATCACCATTACCACAAGGTTTTTATCTAACAGCAATAAAACCAGCCATGTAAGTTATTTTCTTTAAACATCTGTATATTTGTCATTATTGAACTTAAAGTCGTCACATAAAAATTGAACGCAATAGGTTCGGTATCACATCTCAACAAGACTTTATAATATACTTGCCCTTACGTTAAGGAATACTGTTTGTCTATCAAAGATACTATAGTTCTTACGGAGAGTATAGTATGTTGAGTAATGTTTCCTTTATTTTCAGTATCAAAGGTGTTCGAGGTGAAATCGTTAGAGGCTGTCTTTACAGAAATATTGTGTTTCATTACGGAGGAAGAAGAGAATACTAAGCTAAAAAATAATTCCGACCACTGAGTTCTCATGGTGCAGACTGGAAATCCTCAAGAACAAGAATGTAAAAAAAGAAATCTTTGGAAAAATATTATCAATATCTGACCGTTATTTATCCAGCAAAATAAAGAATTTGTAATGCAGTTCAATCTTTTTCCATGAAACAAATTTCTTTCATGTTAAGTGTGTTTTAAAATCTATGTTTGTTGGTCTTGTTCTTTTATTTATAATCCGTCTATTTAGTTTCTGCTTTGTTCTGATTGATTTAACCCCCTGAGCCAGTTCGCAGAAATGTTAGTGGCAAATTTCACCACCAAGTCAAAAAAGTTATTAAACTATGGAATCTCTAACATCGTTATCTCGTGTACCATAAATATCTTGGAAGTCCCAATCCACTGTTTCTTACCCATCGAATTCGAGATAAAGAGGTTTGACTGTGGAAACATTAGATAAGTATGAGATCTTTACTAAGTACATGTAGTTGCTGAGCATTCATTGAGGAGGGCTGTCCATAAAGTTTTTGTACAGTTGTCTTTAAGGACATTGGCAAGTCAAGGTTTTCCGGAGAGAAAAGGTTTAATACATGGGTTTTTTCACTTATGAAATAGTGATTGAGAGTGATCTCCCGTGTAGAATTCTCTAAGCGGTGAAAACCAATAAAGCGTATGTTTACAGAGGTAAACAAAAGCACGTGTACTTCCTTCAACGGGTAGAATCATCTATACAGCAAGAAAGAAAAGTAGTAATGACTTTGTTGTACATTGTATTCAGGGGACAAAGAGCCAACAGGTTGTCATTTACCATAATTATGCTCAGTATGCTGGGAAGACCAAAGATGCACATGACATATGCTGAAAGGTAGACCGACTGAGAACAGTACCTAGGTTGTATGAAGGAAGCAGCATTTAGCAACTACGAATAAAAATTGAAATAAATTCATGCCAATATTTTTTATGACAATGTGTTTCAATCAATTCAGTCAATTACATGATAGAATCAATCAACCAGTCTGACTCTCTTGACCATTATGAATAATACGTAATTATAGCTGTTAAGGGAAGTAACTCAAAAATAAAGATCGGCGCCGATATGTCCTTAGCTTGTTTCTATATATACACTTTCAGCCAAAATATCTAGAAGTCATAGGAAATGAAGATACAATAATGTATATAATACAAAAACTATATGAAATAAATGGGTTTTGGAGAAATATTATGGTAAAAAATTATGTTGGTCTCTTTTATCAACATTTTACATAGGAAATGCATTGAGAATTGCAAAAACACCGATTTGACAAAATCTTAAAAAGAAGGTTGGCTTGGTAGGTTAAACAATTCAGAATATTACCTGTTTAGTACAATTAAACCTACTCAAGAGTTCTTGAAAAATTCTATACGATAACCAGGAACCTTGCCAATGTCCTTAATTCATTTTGAATACTCTTGTCTAAGAAACATAATGCTCCTACGTGTTCATGTTCTTCTCCCTACAACTGAAGTCCTGCTGGACAAGTCAGTACTGGTGAATATAGTTAACAACTCGATCCATCAATCTTTTTTTAATAGGGCCAAAATTTAGGGAACCCCAATCTTTCAACTGGCGACAAACTTTCAAATATAATGATCCAAGATTGTGCTCGATGAAGGGTCAAATGTGAAAGAGAGGACATTGACACTTGTCAGAATGTATTAAAAGTATAAGATAAAAATCTTGTTTTATACAGTTGAAAGGCAATATGAAAACCATGTATTCTTTTGCTTTCAATAATTCAGATTTGAAAAAAAGAATCAGAATATACGATCAAAGAAAAAAATCATCAAAAAGAATCAGATTATATCTAATATGTTTCTTACTCAGTGCAGTCAAATTTGCAAATGTCTTGTAACATGACAAAACCCTTAAATGGCTTTTAAGCCCCAAAACCAATCTTCCAAACTCCAATGTGCACCGTTTTTGTTCCGATATGAAGTTAGGATTACCAATGGTGATCGGTGATGTGGCTACAGAATCGGTCTAACAGTCAAAAACAAAATGGTATAGGACCGTTTTGTTTATCATAGCACCTAGAAGTTACATATGTTTTGATGTCCATATTCCGTCAGGCACATTTAAGACTTCCCCTGTTTTGTGGAACAATCTTGCAATTGTCGTATGATGACAAGTAAATGCTATTGCAATCTTTAGATACTAATGTTTTTAAATCACTTTGCAACATTTTGTACCAGAAGAAAGAATAATTTTTGAATTGATTTCAATTCCTACAAACCCTTACAAAGGAACAACCTCCAGACTTCATACTGAGTAGATTAGTACGCTCTTTTCGGGTCAAACGCCGCATAGGTTATTTTTTATTAGTATAAGCATGAAGAACACAAACACAAAGAATAAAATGGGAATTTATTCCTCCAAAACCCGTTTACATGATATCCATGCTTTCTATGAAATGGTTACGTCTAATTTAACATTAATTGACCTCCTTTAAACTTATGTAACATTTCATTATATCAACTACATTATAAGCAAGTTGTGAAAAGTTAAATATGAATTTTCTTTGGTTTTGGGTAAGCAATTTTGTGTAATGTATATATATTAAGAATCCAGATGACAAAGCAGGTAACAAGATAGTTTTTATGAGGCTCATCATTACAAATTTTGCATTTTCAAAGAACTTTTAGAGGATTTTTAATTTTGCATGTGGTACTCCAGCTTATATTCAAAGTACCCCTTCCATTTCTGAGGAGGTAATTCTTCAAAATGATATGACATTTTCAAATATTTTATCCAACAACCAAATTGAATTACCACACCTAAACGTCACAAAATTGCAAAGCGGGTTCTAGTTAAAGTGCTACCAGGCCCCTTTCTTTACGCCCCGCTAAAATGTTAACAGCAGTGAGTAACCTCAGGATTACTTTGCAACATCATATTTGAGAAGTGGTATTAATCAGAGGTGGAAACTTAAAAACGAAAATGAAATTTTAGAAAATTTAAATTCACATTTTTTTCAAACATCAGTAGCATCAAAACTTTATGACTTTCAAACACTTTATGTAACTATTCCCCACATAAATTAAAGACATTGAAGACCAGCCTTTTTGACATCATAAACAGCTGCATCTTCAGAAAAAATGGACCTTGTAAATTTGCATACCTTGTCGTTGGTCATCTGCATTGTGTGTGTAAGTTGTGTGACACCGCAAGAAGGGTTTGAATGTATATTTCAGCCCTTTTAATTTCTTAAATAAGTTAAGTGTGAATTTGAAGGTTAGTGCCGGTGTTTCATATTCGAGTGATATTTTAATATCACTACCACAATTGATAGAATACAAATTGAAGATTGAAACTGAATTTAAAAATCATACAACTTCCTCCTGAAGATAATCAAAAAGTGCAATTTTCCCCATGTTTCAAATGGGGGAGGGGGGGTGGCAGTTTTACAAAGGAATATTTTAAGAACAAAACGGACAACTGTTAATTTGCCTTCATACATATTAAAGAAAACATTGGCAAATACATGTACTCGAATTTGTAAAAGACACTATGCTTTTATCTTTTTTGTGTTTGCTTTTTTGTTGGTTTTAATTTGTTATACATGTATTTGTGTAGCTGTGTCTATTTTAGTTTGTTTCAGTTTTTATTTGTAGTTGAATTGTGTTAGAGAGGTCTACTGTATTAAACGGCCTTTTGTTATATGTAACTAAAAATGTTCTCTCCTTTGTCATTTATTTTTTCTGCATTTAGTAAGAAGCTCTTAATGAGACAAGCCTCTGTTATCCTGCTTCCTTTCATGTCATAAAGGTTAATTGAATGACTTTTTTCTTTGTTAAACTTTTTTGTTTTCACGTTTTAGACATTTATCTGTAGATATCATTGCTTTTATAAATCCTTTTTATATGTGATTTTTTTCCTCTAAACCTTTTTTAAATAAGCTCGTCCAAGAAATATGACAGTACAGAGAAACTTGTCTAAACTGGATGTTGTGAATTCCGGAATTTTGCCTAATTCAATGAAACCAGTGATTTCCGGATTGGAAAAGTTTTTCTGCATGCGTTTGTTTATCACCCATTCTCATTTTGGTTAACAAAAGGAAAATTTTTTTATTTTACACTTGGTCAGAAAAAGTTTGAGTTTCTTAAATTCCAATTTTTATTCCCATTTTTCTTTCCTTATTTCTTTATGTTATTCATTTGATTACATAAGTCTATCTGGTCTTTACCGTACTCATTTAAGTCTATCTAGGATTCAATAGTATTGTTCATACAATAGCTGGGTTCATATACAAAATTACAGATCAATAGGAATTTTTTAAACCCATGTTGACTTTTTATCCGGCTCTTATCTTTGAAATTGCAAATCAAAATTATTTGTTGCCCAACTTATAACATTGATGTGTTAAATGATGTGTTAAAGCTTTATCAAAAGATGTACTCTGGAGTCTATATGCGATGTGTCTTTTAAGATAAACTTTTGCTTTCATCTAGCAACAACAGAAAAGTGACTTTTATTTGAAAATAGTTCCTCCAGTGTAGAATGTTATATCTCAAGGTCAAATTTACAAGGAGAGAATTTCTAATATAATATTTTTGAGATTTTTCCATCAGTAACTTTTATTGGTATAAGAATATAGAATACTGTACTGCCACATCACTGAAAATTCGAGAATTAAATAATTTGTTCCAAAATAATGCATATGAAAATTTTATAAAATTTATTTTTTAAAAATATTTTTATTGTGAAACAACTTTTTCTGATAATGAGTTTTTCTGTATGGACATTCCCTGAGGAGGAAGCCAAGGTTACCTCCCATCCTAAAAATAACAAAAGATTTAATATCAATAAATATACAGTAAAACTCGGATATACAGAATTCGCGTATAGGGAAATCTCGGTAACAATAAAAAAATATGAATCCGGTAGAGGGCTTTGCACTGTTTTTTTTTTATATTCAGATATAAGAGAATCTTGGATATAAAGAAGCAAAACACGACGTTCCAATGACTTTCTTTTAATCAAGTTTTATTGTAAGTCAAATGCTCAAATATTAATTCTTATTCTTCCTGATGTCAAACAATGGTTGTCATTCTGGTAGCATCCTTACACAGCAAGTATTATAGCAATTGATAAAAGATTAAACACAAAAATCTTGAAAGATTAAACCCACATTCATTCAGATTTGACAAGGGCTTCTATCATTAAAGTGCAATAGTTTTATGGAAAAAAATCTATAGATCCTAATATATTATACATTTCCTCAGTTAGTATCGAAATGTACATGTATTTTTTGTAAATTTTATTAGAAATACTACAGACGTAGTGGAGAGTTAAAATATGTGCTTCCATCGTCTTATTGTGATAATTTTGTTGAACAATGGAAATAAGAGAAGTGGTCATCTCAAATTTGTAAGCCCCAAAATATTATGCATTTTTAACCAGGATTGGAAATCATATTCTTTTAAATTAAATTTTAAAAAACATTAAAAAAAAAAGCACAAATTCATGAGTACCCATGAGAATAATATTTTGGTTACTTAAAATATAAGCTGTGCCTACCCGTCTGGAACCGGCGTAGATCCGGTAATTAAGAAACCAGGACCGAAAGGGGATGGAAACCTTTCCCGGATTCTGAGCCATTCACCACATTCATTATCATTGTAAGAAGCTCCGAATACTAAAAAATTATAATAATAATAGATTATAAAACAGAAGTTTAGAATACAAATTGATAATAAAAGAATAAAAGAGAAAGGTGCATTGGTTACTCTTGATTATGTTTAATTCCTAGGATTTTTTTAAACAAATCAACTAATATGTGTACAGAATTGATGCTTATATGATTTTGGCATTTTAGGTTTGACAATGCGTTCCTTGAATATCTGTTTTGTATCTCTTTGAATATACCAATATTTATAATTATCATTATCTTATGATTTCTAAAGTGCTTTAAAAATCTCTAACAAATTTATAAGAACCAAAAAATGTTCGCAATTCAAGTGATTTCCAGTTGGATTCTATAGAAATGCTTCCTTCTGGAATTTTGTGAAACGTCAAGAAAGGTTCCTACATTTTTGTGAGGAAACTTAAAGTAGCAATACTTCAATAATAAATTCCTTAGAAAATTATACATAACTGAGGAGCGCATCGACAGACCTTAAATGGTAATTATATACGGTCTGTTCCATCTTGTTTTGATTCATACCGAACGTTCTGAAAAGGGAACTAGACACTTTCTACATTATCAAATTTTTCTATCGTCATTTCCCTTATTCATGAAGCAATATGCCTTTGTTACTTGCATATGGGGATTTTGTCTCCCATTTGATTCGATACGCAAGAACATGCTCTATGTATGAACAAAAACGAGGTACGTTATTGACAAACAAGTTGATGAAACAAGAATATCAACAGTCTCGTTTAAAGTAATCATTCCGTAGGTTCTATGGTCAATACAATGACTTTGTTATCAAATACAATTTATCACTAAGTCATATGCTGACTGACGTTTTTCATACATTTGTACTAATTGTTAGGCCATTATTTATACACTGAATTGTCGACGGATTTTTCCCGTTATTTACCGATCATGACAAGGAGCACACGGCCAGTGTGTCCTCCATAGCACCTGATCCCACCTCTGATTTTTTTTTGGAAGTCCGTGTTTGCTCTGTTCCCGATTTGATTGTTTTAATGGACTTTGAGCTTGAATACTGTTTAATTTGTTATCTCCATATTTCATTCTAGCTGCTACATACCAGAACAGCAAATGACCCGTCTCTGTCCTCCTTCACGGAGAAACCCATTGATGTAGCCTTTCTGTGGACAAACGAACCCTTCCGATTCACCCAGGACTTGAAAACATAATTCAAACATGAAATAGAAAAGTTTTATGTACGTAAAAATTAATCATTACTGTCCATGTCAAGTTTAAGAGAAAGACAAAAACCAAAACTGTTTTTTTAAACTGGGGAAGGTTAAGAATTTTTCTTTGTCTTGATACAAACATGACTTACTGAGAATGACACATCGCTTTACATTTCCCGGTGGAGGCACACAGAATGCAGCGGTTGTATCTCCTCGAAATACAAGTGCTCCATTTCCAACACAATTCTGATTTATCGCTCCACCGCTGGGTTCAGTGTTTTCTACAACAAATGAAAGTCACTGCTACATTTAAGTGTAAACGGTGTCTGTAGAAAGAGTCCAGTCAGACAACACAACACAATTCTGATTTATCGCTCCACCGCTGGGTTCAGTGTTTTCTACAACAAATGAAAGTCACTGCTACATTTAAGTGTAAACGGTGTCTGTAGAAAGAGTCCAGTCAGACAACACAACACAATTCTGATTTATCGCTCCACCGCTGGGTTCAGTGTTTTCTACAACAAATGAAAGTCACTGCTACATTTAAGTGTAAACGGTGTCTGTAGAAAGAGTCCAGTCAGACAAGCATGGAATAGCTATAGCTCGTGTGTCTTGTATTTGGAAATGACATCTTTATAGAAGCCTCCATTCGATGTTTGAACCTCCATGAAATATAGTGATTCAAATGATGAAAAGCAGTTTTCCTACATAAGTACTAGTATTTAAAGTGGAATAGATATGTTTGCTCTTTTTTAATTTTTGTATTTTCAACCTTGGTATCTTACCTTGAACGACGTTTCCCAACTTAATTCTTTCTGCGTTTACCATCAATTGTCCGAACAAACAGAGAAAAATAACGAACATCGTTATCTTTTTTCAAGAACATTAAGTCTTACAAAGTCTTTATAGCTCTACGATGACGTAAGTTTTACTTTTTTTAATTGTGAACTTGATGGACTAAGATTAATTGGACATTTCTTTTTTGAATTTTAATTTTAAATGAGGATATATAACATAAATCAATAGATTCCATTTATAAAACAAGATAATTAATGCACGGTTTCTTAACCTTGTGACAAGATATAATAAATATTTCAGTCATTAATCTCTTTCCAATAAAGGTTTCTTTTCTGCAAACATCTTTTTGGTTTGCCTTTGCCTATATTTCTGCGATAACATTTTCTAAATGAGAGAGAGAGAGAGAGAGAGAGAGAGAGAGAGAGAGTACATTTACTCGACCATGTTTCATATATTGTTGTTTTTTAGAGAATGATGGGACTGGTATTATAACAATCAATTGTGAGAAAGCCAATGAGTTTTGATAAAAATAAAGTTTATATTGCTGGGTATTTTTAGTAAAAAATAAAAGATTATTATATATACAATGTACATATAAATCATTACGAATGAATAAATGAACTAAAGCTATATCAACTATATGCATAGTGTTCGAAATTGTTATCAAAATATAAATTTACACTGAGGCATATTTTAAAATTTAAGTAATGTAAACATGGACTTTAAATGGTTATTTCATTTTTTTTACTTTAGTGCTGTACGTGTATTTGTGGAAATTTTAATGACGCATTTCAGCATTCCCCTCTGGCTCTCAGAATTCGATGTTCGATCGTACTAAAATCTCTTTAATACTTGGAATCATTATGTAAAAAAAAAACTTTTTATCAACATTTTTTATTTGTTTGTTTGTTTGTTTTTTTTTTTTTTTTTTTTTTTTTTTTTTTTGGTTAATGCTGATTTTCATTGAAATTACAATCTTCTAAACGTCTGTAATATCATGGTAAAAATGTTGAAAGCATAGTCCAATTCAAAAAATGTTTTCACCTTTGCAAGAATTAATGAGATACTGGTTACCTTAATTATTTTAGCCACTATTTATAGAAAGTATTTTTCTATTAAATATTGCCCTTAAGATTTTGATAAAATTTAATTGGTTTTAACTTATTTCTACGCGAAATTTGACAATGATGATCAGAAATCGAGGTGTTTAATAAATGAGTTCACACACACAGTGTTAATGAATTCATCAAATGCATAAGGGATTTCCTTATGCTGATCATAAATTGTTTATATGGTTGCTTTCAAAAGTCAGATGGGAAATAAATTAACATTGTTGGAAATGAACTTCATTTTTTATACTCACATTAATGTCTCTTTGCATATAAATTTCATACAATGCATTTGCAAATCATAAAAACTAATTGATAGAAAACAAAGAAGGCGCTAAATATTTGTTGAAAATTGGTTTGATAAGAACATGTTCAGAACAAGCTGGAGGAGTCAAATTATGACCTAATATAATATATACAAAATTCTATAGTTTTTTAAGAGGACATTAACAGCTTTAAAACATTTTTTCTAAAGTTACCCTGTATATTTTTTAAAAGGTGTTATGGCAATAATGACAGTTTCAATCGTTGTAATGACAAACACGATTATTTCAACTTTTCCATCATCAACTTTCTTTATTTATGTAGTAATACCCTAGCTGCTACCACCTGTATATGGTGTTTACATCTCCCAACTTATTCGATACTCAAGAGCATGCTCCGAGTACGATCAATTTTTGAACAAGACAGGCTACTGACAGATGAGTTGATATGACAGGGATTTCAAAAACCTCCTTTAAAGTCAGCATTTCATAAACTTTATGGTCGTTATAATGACCTTGTTAGCAAATATAACATATCATTGGGTCGTATTTTGGCCGACTTGTTTCATACCAATTGTTAGGCCTTTGTTTTATATTCAATTTCAGTCTACCTGATGGGGTTCACGGTGGGTGCGACCGGTCAACAGGGGATGCTTACTCCTCCTGGGCACCTGATCCCACCTCTGAAATTTCCAAGGGTAGGTGTTTTTTATCCTCTTCACAGTATTGTATTGTTTATCGATTTCTTAAGATCAATCACTGTTCGTTATCCTCACATTTTACATTCCACTCCATTAATGTACCCTATCAAGCTAATCAGAATTTTACGGAAGTCGAAAGTCGCATAAACCACATCAATCTTTACTGGATCGAATAATTTGTAACACGTGAAATTTTTTGAGCAAAGTTCCTAAACTGCAGTATCACAATTATTATGGAATATGAAATTAGAGAAGCTCAAAACTTTTAATATTAATGCTGTCATGATACATCATAAGTATATTTCAGTTTTAATCTGGTATGGTGATGTTTTATTGTATTTGGACCTGAAAAAAAGAGATTCTTATGATCTTGTATGAGTCTCGCCTAGCTTGATCCTTCCCCACCCATAGATCAAATTGATCATCTAAATGTATTTTGGACTTGGAATTAGCTCAATTGCACCTTTTTTTTTCTTTCTTTCTTTTTTTTTTTTTACACTTTCTTTCCGACTCAAGAGAACATGTACTAGATCTCTTTCTTACCACATGTCTAGTCTGAGCAGAACGCATTCGTGATGTTATAGATGGCAGAATCCTTAATTAACATGCTGGGATATCTTAATGGGCCATAAAAATTATCAGTTTTCACGAAATGGTCAAAATTATTCAATATTATGAAACTAGAGTATTGGTATATTTGATTCTTAGAAAAGAAGAAATTAAGAATTTAAGTATACATGTATATGTAAAACCATATAAACATGGATATGGTTTTTAAAATCTAATCATTTTCAAAATATTCAATATTCCATCATGTCAATATGTAAAATATATATATGCATTCTGATATAATAAGTAAGATTGCTAATTATTTGCTTACATTAAAAAAAAATCATCTATTAATATTAAAGAACGCACGTATTCCGTCTCAATTTATATACAATTGTAAAAAGACAATTACGAGGGGTTATCAAAAAGTTCGTGGACTGAGTCGACAAAATTAGTACTATGTAGTGTGTGCTTTCAAAAATTTATAAGGAACATAAAACAACAAAAAATACAGAAATTTTGAAAATTTTAGCTTGATACGTTCATTATTTGCCAAATTATTATAAAATGAAAACGACATTATATGATCACCCGGCGCTGTCTCCGTTTAGTTTCATGACGTCCGACAACGTCGTTGTTATTCAATGTCCGATTCTTCTACCTCATACACTTGCCTTGATGGGATTCCCTGGAGTTGAGTAAGGACTTAAACCCGTCCTTTTTATATGACTTTAAAATGTCATGAACAGCTGCTTTCATAGCATATTATATTGCAAATGGATTTATACATAAGGAGAGATCCTCGCTTGATTATGCCAGCATATTTTGCTTTTTGAAGTTCATAATTTATCACATATGATCAACTTCATTTTTTGACGTGATTGACTTTTCACATTGACTTCAAATCGACATTAACTGTGCATCCCTTTTCTCGCTGAATCCATTTTGGCATTAAAAAAAAAACAGGTACTCTAGATGCAATTTATTTCTCTGTAGCCAGTTTAAAGATTTCATAGGCCTATACCAGTTTTTTAGGGACAAAACTTTATAGAATGTTGGAAAAAGAAACCCCTCTCCCTTTTTGACGTCATTTTCAAGCCCTCAATTGTTTGGACACTCCAAACAAAATTTACGATAAAATATCATAGAACTTACAGAATGAGGTAAAAAATGCATATTTTACGAACCAATAGTGTCCCATCACACACTTGAATTAACGGGATTTTTGGATGTCAAATGTTCATAACAAAATAGTTTTTCTCAGTAATACTTAGGTCGAAAAAACGTCATATTCGAGGTTGCGCCGCCTGGACATACCATTGCTTACAAAAACATTATTAATTTATCAGAAAATAAAATTTATGATTTATGTTTTATTCTTTAGATAGAAAAGATGATGCTAACTAAATATTTTAAAATTCATTAATGTACCTAAAGCGGTTTTAATTTTATGGCGCTAGTCCACGAACTTTTTGATACCCCCTCGTATACTTTGAATGAACGAATGAACAGCTTTATCAATATAGACGTGATAAAAAAGGGACTACATTTTTGCAGTATCCATTGGAATGAAGGCAATGGTAACATTGTTCGGTGTCCGTCAGTCCGTCTGTCATACAGATGATAGATACATTGTACCAAAGATAACAGTGCGGGGTTACTTTCGGTAGTTAGGTTTAGAGTTGGGTGCATATGTCCAAATGATTTCTGATTATTCCTCCACCCTACAGTTTTTTTTTGTATCTTTTTATTACACATTATAGATTAAAATGTGTTTAAATCATGACCCCATGGGTAGGATGGGACCACAATGGGCGTCAAAATTTTACATAGGTATATA